TGTTCAAGGTGGAGGCGAGAGGGAGAAAGATCTCTCTTTCCCACCACCTCCACCTTCCAGGCACTGCCACTGATCCCCATTGATTGAACCTTGCCAGGAACCCTGGGAATTATAGTTCCCTTGCTGCAGAGCAGGCCAGGAGAGGGGGCAGGCAGTGGATCAGTCAGGGAAGTTGACCCCACATTATAGATAAACCAGACGGTCTCCATGGCTGCTCCAGGGCATGTTGCTCAGTCATCCGCATCATCCCTGACACTGTAGGCCCCTGGGCTCTGGGAAGTTCCTTGTTCATAGTCAGCCAGGCACCAGCCACTGCTGCAGACACAGGCCTCCTCGGGAGCCTCAGGGCTGTCTGCCCATGGTGAGGAGTTCTTCCTTTGCTGGAGGAATTCTCTCCCAACTTCCCTACCCCCCACCTAGAACAGACACCCCTTTTGTCCTGTGTGCTGGGACTGGTCTGTCCCCTGACCTGAAGAAAGCTGTCCCGAGGATGTCTGTGTCAGCATGCAGAGTGGCTTTGCTTGACTGGAGAGCTCTGGGTGGCAGGACATTGCCAGGGGGCCCCTGAGAGAGGAGCTGGTGTCCTGAAGCGTGAGAGAGGCCAGAGGAACACCGCACCCCTGAGCAGAGCCACCTGGCATTCCACAGGCAGCTGCGTGCCCGGCTCGGGCGCCGCGCACGTAGCGTCAAAGTGAGGCACCTCGGGAGAGGCGCGCTGCCAGGTATGCAGGCAAGGAAGTTGGGTAACAACGTGAGGTAAAGCCAAATGCAGGGCGTCAGCCACCCGAGAGCGCCCTCGGCAGACCAGTGGGGCTCGCTAACAGTAACTAGCCCTTCTTGGAAAGTGGGCCTTGTTTCATGTCGTTTATTTAATTCTAAGAATTCTGTGAGGCAGGTACTATCAGTCCGTCTTAGACAGGAGAAAGGCGGGGCCGAAACGGGCGGGAGTTAAGTAACTTGCCAAGGTCCACATCTCGTATGTGGTGGAATCCTTACGAGAGTTCCAGCCATGGCAGTTGACGCTTCCTGGTGTTGCGGCTGCCACCCTCTGCTCCAGGTGCTTTGCATCTCAACTCGCTTAGTCTTCACTTCAGCCGCACAAGGGGAGGTGCTTTTGTTCTCATTTCCTAGATGAGGTGCCTGAGGAACAGAGACGGTAGGTGACTTGCCCGGTGTCACACAGCAGAGTTGCAAGTCAAACCCAGGCAGCCTGCTTCACTCCACTGAGTCAAAGATAAGAACTAACGTGCTCGTGTGGCACTTTATAACATACTTTGTCCAGCTATTTTATCTCCAGAGGCACATAGAAGCAGAGACAGATCATGTAGCCATTTGGCAGGCCAGGAAAAGGAAAGGGTCAGAGAGGCTGATGTGATAGCAGCTAATGCACGTCAGGCCCTGTGCTAAGTGCTCGCCCTGCGTGGCTGTTGAAGTGCCTCCGGGGCCCTGTGGAGTAAACGCTCCCAAGTGAGGAAACTGAAGCTCGCTGCAGGCTGGGAGGTAGCGGGGCTGGCGTGCAGGCCTGGTGCTGCGCTCTTCATAGGGACGCCATCGGACGTCCACCACATGCTGGCTGCATGCTCCGGGGCCTGGGTCAGACGGCACAGTGGAGTCGTGCAGCCACAAGATCATGGCAGGGTGCCCAGCACTGATTGCCCCTGAGAGGCCCCATGTTCCCACACCAAGGGCCTGGGCTCTGGTCCTCATCAAGAAGCGCCACCACTGCTCGTGCACGTCCCTCCTCTGCCCACGCAGAGTGACGCCCCTTGCCTGCCAGCACTATGAGCCTGCACGAGATGGCCTAGACACACCCCAGCCCTACCTGCTGACTGTCAGCCCGAACAGATGGCTCTGAAACCGCTCATTTGTTCATTCCCATGCTCCTTTAATCTGGTCAGCCCGGCCTCAAAGAGCAGGAGTGGCCAGATCTGGCACGACACCCAGTACCCACCCGTGCCCATTGTGGGATGGATGCCTTGGAGCCAGCAGCACAGTCATCTCCAGCCAGCCCTTGTGCAACATCAGCACCACCCCCATTCCAGGTCAGACCACTGCTGCCCCCCATCCCACTCATTGGACTCTGCCACTTTGGGGTTCATTATCTTCATGGCAGCCAAGGTGGGCCCTCCCTCCTAAACCTGCAGTGAAGTCAACACCAAACTCTGGTACACTGTGTGGTCTTTGTGCCCCTCACCTCCCACCTCCCCCTTCCTTGGCCATTGTCTCCTCATTTAGGGCTTAGTTTAGATACCACCCCTTCCACGAAGCCCGCTTGGAGTGGCCCCATGGCACCTGCTTCCTTTCCCTCATCAGTTTCTTCTTTCTGGTCTCTTCGTGGATTTGGTAAATGCGCCCAATCCATGTGTCTGCCCCTGTAGCCAGAGGGGAAGACAGAGGGGCTCTCTCTCTCTCACTGCTTTGTTACACGTGACTCTCAGGAACGCTCAGCTCGTGGATGGAGAGCAGTTACACAAGTGAAAACTTAGTGGGCTTTTCCCTGGTTTCAAAAACACATTTGTGAAAGTTAATTTGGAAAAATACAGGAAGGTGTAAAGACTGTATTTTCAAATATCCCTGGTAGTCCCAGTACCAAGAGATATAACACTCATTAACATTTTTGAGGATTGTTCCAGGCTTTCCTATGGATGCATCTAGACACAGAAATGTTGAATGTTGTAAAGACGCACAATAATATTTTTAACCCTTCTCCTGCTGTTGGATTTTGAGGTTGGTACTGTTGGTGAGGATTTTGTTTTGTTTTGTTTTTGTTTTTGCTTTCTAGCCAGTGCCATGAATTTTTTTTCTTCATTTCTTAACTATTTTTTTGGGATCAATTCCCAGAAGTAATATTGCTGGTTCAGAGGGTAAGAACATTTTTTAAAGCTTTTGCCAGATTGCCTCTAGAAAGGGTCCTCTAACTGGGAAGAAGCGTTTGTTGTCCTGGGCGTGAGTGACCGACTGGCTTCCCGTGGCCTGGGTGTCTCTCTGCCCCCTGCCAGCCGCTTCCCGCGGCTCCTCAGGACCCAGGGCCCTTCTAGCCTGTCGCACTCCCCCTTGGCCTTGGCCTGGGCGTCCATTCTGTGTGCATCTTGGGCAGAATATTGGATCATGGCTTTGTACAAAGTTGCAGGCCTGCACCATCTGCCCACCAGTCCTGGGCGGGAAGAGACTTTGCGCCCAGTGGAACAGAGGCGGTGGGGGGGGGGGGGTCGGTGAGGGGAGGCGTCTGGGACACAGCTCCTCACAGCAGCCTGGTCCACAGCCCTGCAGCCGGGATGGAAGCCGGGAGCCCGCCTGCATTTCTCCGGTGGGCCGGGTCTCGTCCCCTCTGCCCCCAGCTGCCACGCAGTGAGTGTCCCCTGAAACTGCTGCTGTGAGTGTGCCCCAGCTCTCCTCCTTCTCCCCGCCGCCTCCACGGCTAGGAGGTGCTCATCCCCTCGTCTTGTCCAGGGTGTTTGTGCTTACACAGGTGAAGTGGCCCTGCCGGTTCTGGGAAGTGGAAACCTTTTGTAGAAGAAAGTGAATTTCGAGCCAAGGGAGGGAGAGGGACCATGACCGGGGCTTGGGGGTAGGGAGGGTACACGCCCTGGATGTTACACACAAACGCAAGAAACTCATCTGTTGGCCTTCAAAGATCAGTCGAGATTTTAAATCTATGCCTGTGTTTGAAAAACTCACACAATGCACAAGACTTTTTAAGATGTAGTCATGAAACATCACGTCTGCATGGAGTCGTGAAGACAGGGCCACATCTTAGCAAGCAGGCCTACAGCAGCTCTCGTGTCACCCCAGGTCGAGAAAGCGAACCTTGCCAGCACCCCAGAAGCTCCTGTAGACGGCAGAACCTCTCCTTCCCCCAGAAGCCACCACTGTCCAGATCTCGGTGGTCACATGTCTTGCTTTCTGGAAGTCTGGTTACCTATGTAAGCAACTTAAAATAACGTGGCTGTGTTTTGCCAGTTCTCGAACCGTAAGCTCTGCACGTGTTCTTTTTTTTTTTTTTTTTTTTTTTTTTTTGAAGATTTATTTATTTATTTATACAAGCACTGGGTACAGTCAGAAGGGCCGGAGGGTGAGAGAATTCACCAGAGCCAGAGTGGGGAGCAGAGCAGGCAGAAGGACCCAAGTACACTGCTGAGGGGAGCAGTGGGCGGCAGGAGAGGTCTGCGCACCATGTGGGACCCTCCTCCAGTGGCTGGGGAGCAGCCGGGATCGAACTGGTGCTGCAGAGGCTGCGGGCAGCTTTGCAACCCAGCGCTCAACCGCTGCGCCACCGGGGGAGGCCCTCTGCACGTGTTCTGTGGCTGGTTTTTCTCTCCACGTCCTGGTTTGGGTGTCAGAGCATTGCCAATACGAAAGCTGGTCTTCACTGATGCACAGATATGCAAGCATTGCAGATGTTAACATCTGTGCGTTTTGTTTGATCGGTATTAGAAAACAGTACGAGGCATCAACATTGATGTTATTTAGACTTTAGTGAGTTGATTGCGAGGATTGTGGCCAAGTACATAGCAGGGTTTGCCATGGTACCCAGGGTGCGTGACCTTGGGGAGTTTGAAGGTCGAGGGTGGAATGACCACATACACCCTGTCACCCCTGCCCTGGGGTACCCACTGACAGCTGGACAGTCTGTCTCCTAGACCTGTGCCCAGTATTGACTAGGATGGGTAGGCAGATAGAAAAGGTGTGGCTTGGGGGTTTTTTTATATTAATTTTCTAAATTACTGCCATTCTTCTGAATGATTACTTCGTGGGACTTCCGAGTTTGTTCTCTCATTAAAACCACCAATTTCCTTGTAAGATTCCACTTCAGGGTGGGGTGAGACCGGACAAGGCTGTCACAGAGCCTGCCAGGAGCCATTAGGGGCCCCAGCAGCGGCGCACATGCTGTGATCCTTTTACTTAGCAGCGGCTCAGTGTCTGCCTCCCGATTTGTTTTTCTTTTCTTCATTTTTAAAAACAGTCGTGGTCAGTTGCTTAGCTTCTCTCTCTTCCCCCAGATGCTGGGAACTCGGAAGCTGGGAGGGAGCTAACGGAGGGACCAGGCAAAGGCCGCCTGGCCTGGGACGCATCCTCAGTGGTGAGTTAGCATGGGATTGTGACTCAGCGGCCAGAAATGTGAGCGCCACAGCCATCTGCGTGCTGGTGTGTGAGACACACACAGAGGGCCGAGGCAGGGATGTGGAGAGGGGACAGGGACACAGCCCCTGGAAGCCAGCTGGGTGGTTGGCTCCTTGCTGTTCTTTCTTTCTTCCTTCTTGATGGACTAGAAAATGCTGCCAGAGGACTCACCATGCTCTGGCGCTGCTTTGGCTCTGCGGAGGGAGCAGGCGTTTGGGGGTTGACCACCATTCCCCACCCTCCCCCAGAGGGCTCTGGGAGTGCAGCTGCTTTGTGATGTTTTATTCTTTTTTAAATCCTGTTACTGATTTTTAAACTCTCAAGTAAGGCTGTGCCAGTGTTGCTTTGTGCCATTCCTGGGGGCAGTGGGTTTCTGGGGAGCACCTGGGGCCCCTCCAGCAACTGGACGAGGCGGTGTTCTTTCTTCCCTGGTACGCACTGCGCCAGGATTGGATGCCAGGCCACCGACCTCAGAGTGCGAGCCTCCTTTCCGCCGTAAGATCACCTGGGATGGAGGGCAGGCATTTGTGAAGTGCCCACAAGGTTCACGACTACCCCTGGGCGGCCGTACAACCACGGGGGGGAGAGCCCAGCTCTGCCTCTATGTCACTGGGTGTCTTTGAAGAGGTTATTTGCCTCATTATTCCCTTTTGTAAAGTGGGGAGCACAATACAGCCCCCCCTCAGGATGTTGTGTGGGTTGAGCAGCAGGGCCAGGCTTGTTAGTGGGGGGCTGCCTTTGTCCCGGGCAGCTGAGGGAACTCAGCTCGCCCACCATGCAGAACCTTCCAAGGCTGCCCACCTCCCACCACAGAGTCGTCCTCAGGTGAGGACAAGCAGAGCCGGAGATGCCCCCAGCCTGGGCCCCCAGCGAGCAGGATGGAAAGAACAGGGCTTTAACAGATGTTCTTTGACAAGGATTCCCTGGCTCTATTTAATCAAGATTGGCAAATATTGATTTCATCTCTGGCCCAACAGATGTGATCTTAGCAGGTTTCGGTGGCAATTAGCTGGGATTAGTTTGCGAGTCAGGCTCCATGCTGATAAGACATGGCCTTCCACGGGAGGCCTGGCTTGGCCACAGGAGAGAGCCCGGAGTGTGTGCTAAATATTTAACCACCACTGACCCAGGCAGCCCCAGCCACGAGAACAGACCTGGAAGCCAGATCCTGGAGGCCCCTGTGGGGTGCAGTGTTGGCCCACACAGTGGTGGTGGGGACACTCGGGGTTCCAGGCAGCTGCCATTTACCAAAGTTCCAACGTGGAAATAAGTGCACAAGCCACACCAGCACTGTGGCTTGATGCTGGGCCTGGCTGGAGTCAGAGGGATCCCCAGAGGGGTTCCCTCACCTCAGAGTCCCTGCATCCAGCCTTTCAGACCCCCAGGCCTGTGCTGTCACACTGTCCCTACTCCACAGGCGTAACTGCAGCTCCTGGGTGGGCCTGGCTTGTGTGCCCGTCCTGCAGGAGCAGCCTTTTTTAATTTTGCGTTTCAAAGTCTCATTTGAAGTGAATGGGACAGCACCCAGAATTGGAACAAGATGCTCATGCACATGTGCTTCAAGGGAGGTCACAACACCCTCTTCTAACCCACCCCACAGGGACTCAGAGGGGTCCTTCCTCTGTCTGTGTGTATGTCTCTCTCATTCTCTCTCATACACACACACACACCCTCTTGTGTAAACCAGATGGGATCGCAAAGTACAAACCCTTCCACAACTTGCCTTTTCCCTTCACAGGCAGCAGCATAGACTAAGAATCTGGACTGTGAGCCTGGGTGCCTGGGTTCAAGTCCCAGTGCCACCACTTTATAGCTGATTGGCCTGGGGCAAGTGACTCAGCCTCTCTGGACTCCGGTGCCTTGACTTGAAAATGAGGATGGTGTTAGTCCCTGCCCCCCAGGGCTGTTGTGAGGGTTACATGGGTAATGTCCGTCAGGCACTTTGCTGCACAGGCAGCGCTCAGTTCAGAGGAGCGCACTCTTGGAGGACACAGCGCCACCCACTGTTTGTCACAGCACATGTGTTCCCTGTCCCAGAGGCTCCCACATCTAACCACCCTCCACTGCTGGGCTTCTGGGCTGTTCCCGGCTCTTCTCTATCAAAGCAGTGTGGCAGGGTGACCGCCTGCAGCCAGACCACCCCACCCTGGCATGTGATGCCCAGTGGCGCGACTCTGAGGGGCAGATGCCTGCAGGTGGAATTGCCAGATTAAAAAAGAACAGCATGCACACCTGAGATTGCAGCACACAGTTCCGGCCATTCTTCTTATTCCCCCAGTGTGGGAAAATGACACCGATTTACACACGTAGAAGCAGCCCAGCCCACTCGGGACCGGGGGCCTATGTGGGGCCCTTCTTGTTTGGATGGGACAGCCGGCCAGACTGTCCTTGTCCCTGGGGGATGGCCCTTGGCACCCGGGTGGGAGCGTGGTCCCTCTCGGGCGCTGGGAAAGTTTAAGTGACAAACACCCGTCCTCTGGGGTCTTTGATATTTAAATGTAGACGTGTGTTGTGTGCTGTGACATACACATCCATTTGATCTTCATCCAGGTTACAAGACCAAAAGTTTCTAGAACACTTGGAGTTTCATGAGAGATATGGGTGATAATATCTTGTGTTATTTCTTTGTATGTGTGTGTGTGGTTTTATTATTTTTTTTTAAAGATTTATTTATATAAGAACAGGGGTACGGGCCAGATGTGCAAGAGGGTAAGAGGATTCACCAGAGACAGAGCGGGGAACAGAACAGGCAGATCGGCTGAAATACACTGCTGAAGGGAGCAGCGGGTGAGACAGGAGAGGTCTGCCATGCCATGTGGGATTCTCCCCAGCCAGCTGGGATTGAACCTGTGCTGCAGAGACTGCGGACAGCTTCACAGTGCAGCGCTCAACCTCCTGTGCCATCAGGGAGGCCCTTCTTGTGTTATTTCTAATAAGCTTCTTTCCATCAAATCTGAGTTTTATGCTAATGAGGTGACTCGGTGAGCTGAGCCCCGGGATGGCCGGTGGCCAAAGGAACCAAACAAGGGATTAGAGGTTGGGACTTTGAGCCCACACCCGGGCCTCGAGCAAAGGGAGAACAGCTGGGGATGGAATTAACCACCAGTGGCCAGTGAGGCTGGTGATTTAATCAGTTGTACGTAAGTAATGGCGCCTCTAATACCCTAAGCAGCAGAGTTCAAAGAGTGTTGAGAGTGGGGAGCACATCCATGCTCCCAGGAGGGTGGTAGGCCCCAAACACCATGGGGACATGGAGTATGTGTGTGCTCCAGGCCCTCCCCTACATCTTGCCCTGTATACCTCTTCATCTTGCTGTCCACTGGTGTTCGTTAAAATAAACTGGAATCGTAAATAAAGAGTCGCCCTGCATGCTGTGAGCTGTTTGAGCAAATTATCAAACTTGAGGCGGGGCTGACAAGAACCCTGGATTTGTGGCCAGGTCAGGCAGATGTGTGGTAACCTGGGGACCCACTACCTGGTATCTGAAGTGGAGGGCAGTCTTGTGGGACTGAGCTCCTGGACCCTATGGGCGCTGTGCTAACTCCAGATTGGGTCAGAATAGAACTGGATTGCAGGACACCCACTGGGTGGCCACAGAGAATGTGTCGCAGCCACACATGGCCACGGTCAAGGCTCTGTTCCCTGTCGTTGAGCTGATGGAGCAGTCTCTGCTGCGGCACTTTCTAATGAGATTCTGGAGATTTCTATCTGTCTTGTTTCCTGAGGGAGCACTAAAGTATGTGTATGCTCAGATTTCTAATAAAGTGGGGAAAGACCTCAGGGGGAGAAAACAGATTCTTAACCTGAATCTGCTGAGCTGCTGCTGACTTTTCTAGAGCTGAGTCCCTGTGAATTGATTCTGAGGCTACCAGAGTCATTCACATGTGCACAGGGCACCACCCCCATCTGCCCTGCTTTGTCTTCTGTCCAGAGCACAGTAGGGAAGGCGTGGGAACCAGACTGTTGAGGTTTGTATCCCTGTTGCTTTACTTACCAGTCATGTGGTTTGGCTACGGGACCTTTGCCTTGTCTGTGAAATAAAGGAGAAACCCCTACTTTGAAGGTTATTGTAACACAGGTTATTATAACACAGGTTATACATGCACACACCAGGTGCATGAGGAGGATCTGTAGTGTTAGCCTTGCTCTCATTACCAGCATCACCGTGTGATCCCTCCCTCCCCACCCCATCCACTGTTAGACCCAGTTCCTCGCCGACTGGGAGCTGTTCAAAGTCTCAGGAGGATAAAAGATCCTCGAGGGCTTAAAAATCCCGTGAGTGAACTCCTGTGAGGCGGAGGGAGGGTTGACGATGCCTGGGTTCATTGAATAAATGGATGGGTTTTAAGTGCTTTGTGTTTGTGGAATGAATGAGCGAGTAATACATGCCTGGTGAGTGTTGACTAAATAAGTTTTTAGTGTTCTTAGGTGCTGGCTTCTGAGACTGGGTGATTTATAAGACAGGTAGGTGTTGTAAGTGGATGAATAAGTTTGGTTTTTTAAGATTTATTTATTTATTTATAGAAGCACTGGGTACAGTCAGAAGCACGGGAGGGTGAGAGAATTCACCAGAGCCAGAGTGGGGAGCAGAGCAGGCAGACTGACGAAATACACTGCTGAGGGGAGCAGCGGGCGGCAGGAGAGGTCTGTGCACCGTGTGGGACCCTCGCCCGGTGGCTGGGGATCGAACCGGCGCTGCAGAGGCTGTGGGCAGCTTCACAACCCAGTGCTCAACCGCTGCGCCACCGGGGAGGCCCATGGATGAATAACTTTTAAGGACTAACTAGTTCTTACTGTACAAAGAAATGACTTGTATGTGCCCAGCAACTGCTGAATTGCAGGGTGCGTTCCTGGAGGAGTCACCATTCCCCCCAGGCCTCTGGAATTGGCCCTGAGGCTGCTGCACAGTCCTGAGCTACCCAGACCTCTTGGGTTCCACAGAGGCTCACTTCCACGAAGGAGAAGCATCTGGAGCAGAGGGACAGCCTGTGTACAGAAGACTGCCCAAGAAAGGGGCCCTGGATACTGGCTTTCCCAGCTTCCCTTGCGCCTCCATGGCCATAGGTGGCCAACTGCATTTAGGCCAATGAGGCATAAAAGAAAGGCTGTTGAGGACGGGGGATACCTTGGGCAAGATCATCCTTCCTGGTTAAAGCCAGATGGATAAGAACACTCTTACATCATCCCTTCTTTTCCCTTTGCCCGTGGTTCAGTGAGAAGCATCACTGTGGCCACCAGCTGCCACCATGGGGCCACAAGCCAGAGATGGAAGCCAGCAGCAGACCGGGAGCGGCCAAGGGGGCTGACATCATCCCGCTGCACCAGGCCGGGAGCCATCATCCTTGTATCTGGCCTCCTTGCCCATGAGATAATGACATACCTCCATGGGCCGAGCCTCCAGGGATGCTGTTCTGTTACTTGCAGCCAGATACATCACAGCTGACTCTCCCTCTGCCGCTTGCTCTTCATTAGCCACCGCCATTGCCCCATCTTCCCCCATCCACCATCTCCAGCGACCTCCCTTGTACCCAATGCTGTGCGTTAGTCAAGTTCCAGATGCCAGCAGTGGAAACCATGCTGGGCAGTCTCGAGCAGAAGCAGATTTTAGTAGGCTTACAGAATCAACAGGAGGGCAGAGGAGCAATCTTAGAAAACAGGCAGGAGCCAAGGAAATACTGGAAGGAAGGAGGGAACCAAGGGTCCCCAGCAGGTCGCACCACAGGAAGAGCCAGACCCGCCGTCCCCCCACCACTGCAGGACAGTTGCCCAGCCCAGCTGAGCTGAGGTCCTGTGTGCACCCCTTTTTGTGCTTCTGTACGGGGAGAGGGGGACGAGCTTCTGCCAAAGATACATGACAGATCAGGAGTGGTCACGGCCGCGCGGTGGGTCACATTATACCCATTTTACAAGTGAAAATTGAGTCAGTTGCAGGAATCAGCGCCTGGCACTCCCGGATCTGAACCACTTAGCAGAAGCCAAGTCTCCCCAGGGAGACTCAACCACACCTTCTCAGAGAAGGGCTTTGTGCAAAGACCCCGGGGCCTTTAGCACATCTGTGTTTTCAGAGACGAGCAGGACAACAGGGGCTTCTGACTGAGCTGGAAATAAAACGCCGTCAGCAAAGCACCTATCGGGACGTGCACACATGACTCGGGTCCCACCCGGGCCACTGGCTCTGCCAGGCTGACCCACAGGCATGGCTGAGCTGCCAGGCGCAGGCAGTGCCCTCAGCCGGTCTGGATGCCCAGCTTGGCCAGCAGTGTGGTGCTGACCTCAGGCCCTTATCTCTGGCAGATGCTGAAAACCCCAGAGGCCACAAGCCAGCAGCCCCTGCCCAGTGTGACCTGCATACTTACTTTATTGACTTTCATTGTGGGTCATGTTCTTCGAGAAGTATTGAGTGACCAGAAGTGCAGGCCCGTGGACAGTGAAAAGTGAGGTTCCTTCCCTCCTCTGCTTTCCAGACACATTCAGATCATGGGAATACAGCAGTAGCTCACATTCTACTTGGTTGCGGGAGGCAGGCGTGGGGGAGATGGGGGGCCGGGGAGCAGGACAAAGTAAGAGAAATAAGTGTGTACATTCACTTACAAAGGAGAAAAAGTAGGCATGAGAGGGTTGGGGGAGGCAGGAAAGATACCTAGTTCTCCTCCTCAGAGACAGCCCCCCACCCTTGCCAACTTACTGCCCCCCGCCATCCAGAGCAGTCGGAAAATGCCCCTGACACTCACACACTCATATACTCCTGCCCATGTGTGCACTCGCACGTATACACGCAAGCAGGAGACTCCGCTTCCCCTCCCAGGATGCACCAGTGGTGGTTGAGCAGAGTAGCCGTGTCCAGCTAGGGATTCTGTGGAAAGGAAAGTTCTCACTCACCTTGGGTCAGCCCGGCCAGCACTCTCCTGGCCTGAACAGTCGGCTCTGTTGGCAGGAGGAAGGGGGCATCGCCGTAGGGGCAGCCAGCAGGTCCCCCTCCCTCCCTTGCAGAGGGCTTCATCTTCCAGAAGCTCATGGCTGAGACCCAGGGCCATGATCCTTGGAGGACTTTGTGTCACCAAACAGAAGCGTGAACTCCCTTCCCCCAGAGGTCTCCGCGCATCAAGATGTGCTTCCAAGCCAAGTTGGGCAGAAACTGTCCAGTCCTCATTCATCCAAGAAATAGTGACTTCGTCCTTGGCGCTGTGCTGAGCACTCAGGATGCAACCGAGAACAGCAGACACCCCTGCTGATCTGGAACTGATAATTGAGTGGTGGAGACAGGCAGTAAAGAGATAATGAACGAAATAATTCCAAGTGGTGACTGCTACTTAGGGGAAGGAAAGGAAGCAGGGCTGGCGACGAAGGAAGGCTTTGAGGAGACAGGGCCTCTCTGCCTGGAAAGGGCGTCTTGAGAAGCCTGCTTGGAAGAGTAGATGCTGTGACAGGGACCAACCTGGTGAAGAAGGGAGGGAGGCTACCCTGGTGTCCCGGATCAGGCGTGATTCATGAGAACAGAGAAGGCGGTGTGATGGGATCTTAGAAGCATCAGCGAGATGGGCAGGGGCCAGATCCCGTGGGGTGTGTGGGCCAACAGCCGGAATTTGGAAGGAGCCACTGGGGAGATCTCAGCAAAGAAGCAGCGGGAGATTGACTGGCTCCTGGTATCTGTTCATCACATATTTGTAGAGACACTCCCTCCCCAAATCCACCAGTGCTCTCAGTGAGTCATCGTCGTTTTCACTTCTTTTCTGGCATGGTGCTGGCTGGGCAGACTGCAAAACCAACACACAGTTGCCCGGCCTCAGCCGTGCGGCCACTGTGGGCCGAGGCGTGAGCTCAGTGACACCACAGGGGACAGCCTGGCAGATCTTGGAAGTGGAACCAAGGTCGGGGTGGGGAGACACTTGAGAGCAGCAGAGGCTTCAGAAGTACATCCACCGAAGCAGAGGGGGGCTTGTTTGCAAGACACCAACTCTAAAGGCATCCTTGAGGTGATGGTGAAGAAGGTGATGTAGCTTGGGTGTTTGTTCCATGGAGTTAAGCAGTTTCTGTTTCCCTAGGTGGGTGACTGTTTCTTTAAAGTCCTTATCTGCTAAAGACACAAGCTGTTTAGAGATGAAATTACCTAATGTCTGAGATTTACTCTAGAGCATTTTTTCCAAACCCCCCCCCCCAATACCCGTGTAGGTTGGGTGGACAGATGAAACAGGAATGATAATACTTTATGGTTGTAGTAGTCATTGAGGCTGACGAGGGGGGTCCATCACGCTCTTCTCTCTGCTTTTGGGTATTGTGGAAAAGGTTTTTTTTGAATGAGTAAAACTTGGGTGGGGGGAGTGCTCTGGGAACAGCAGCCTTACGTCAACCTCTGCCCCTTCTGCCTTTTCAGCATGGCGGGGAAGACCCCCCTGAGGCCGGCCTGGACTCGCCCACATCTGCTGCTTGTTAGACCCTGCTGAGCCACTCAGCCTGGAGCCCCCGGGACAGCACCTGCCTCCTGAGGCTGTCCCGGCTCAGCTGTCCACAGCGATGGTGGAGAACTGGACCCCACAGGCTCACAACCTTCCTGTCAGACTTCAGGAGCCAGCATCCTTCATCCTGGGACTGGCGACCCTGAACAATGGCTGAGGGCCAGGGGACCCCATAAAGTCACTCCACAGCTTACGGGGGCCAGTAGCACTCCATTCCCCTGGACTATGACCACCTACCGGCCCATCCCCAGTGATGGTGTGGACCTGGCAGCCAGCTGTGGGGCCAGGGGGGCCGATGTCCTCCCTGGGCCCCACACAGGGGACTATGCTCCCATCGGATTCTGGGTCCAGAATGGTGGCTTGCCCCAGCCTGTTGGTGAGAGCGCAGCCACGGCCACCACCCGCCCTAGTCCCACCACCCCCGCGGTGCCCAAGATGGGCGTGCGTGCGAGAGTCGCCGACTGGCCACCCAAGAGGGAGGCCCTGAGAGAGCAGAACAACCCCAGCCCCTCACAGGACATAGATGGCACGAAGGCCGCAAAGGTGGCCCAGTCCATGAGGAGCATACAGAATGGACAGCCCCCCACCATCACCCCAGTTTCCTCAGGGTCCAAAGCCTTTCACCGGCTCTCCAGGAGAAGGTCCAAAGACGTGGAGTTTCAGGACGGCTGGCCCCGGTCTCCTGGCCGGGCCTTTCTCCCCCTGCGGCACCGCAGCAGCAGTGAGATCACCCTCAGCGAGTGTGACGTGGAGGATGTGGGGGAGCCGCGGGGGGCCCGGCACATGGGGGCACTGCCCCTCTTCCGCGAATACGGGAGCACGTCCTCCATCGATGTGCAGGGCGTGCCAGAGCAGAGCTTCTTTGACATTCTCAATGAGTTCCGCAGCGAGCAGCCCGAGGCCCAGGGCCCCCACAACCGCGCTGAGCTCCTCCAGGCCGACTCCGGCCCCCATCTCACCGGGAGTGGTGGTGGCGCCAAGGGTGACCTCCGCAATGGGCATGCCACGAAGGACAGCCTTCTGCCGCTGCAGCCCGTGAAGGAGAAGGACAAGGCCCGCAAGAAGCCCGTGCGGGGCCTGGGTGGCGGGGACACGGTGGACTCGTCCATCTTCCGCAAGCTGAGGAGCAGCAAGCCGGAGGGCGAGGTGGCGCGGGCCCCAGCGGAGGCGGAGGAGGGCCGGAGCCCCCCGGAGGCCAGGCCCTGGGTCTGCCAGAAGAGCTTTGCCCACTTTGACGTGCAGAGCATGTTGTTCGACCTCAACGAGGCAGCCGCCAACAGGGTGTCCACCTCCCAGCGGCGCAACACCACCACGGGCGCCTCGGCTGCCTCGGCCATGGCCTCCCTGACGGCCTCGCGCGCCCACAACCTCGGGGGCCTGGATCCGGCCTTCACCAGCACAGAGGACTTGAACTGCAAGGAGAACCTGGAGCAGGACCTCGGCGACGACAACAGCAACGACCTGCTGCTCAGCTGTCCACACTTCCGCAACGAGATCGGGGGCGAGTGCGAGCGCAACGTGAGCTTCTCCCGGGCCTCCGTGGGCTCCCCGGGTGGAGGCGACGGCCGCCTGCCAGAGCCCGCCCTGAGCGCCTACCGCACCAATGCCAGCATCTCCGTGCTGGAGCTGCCCAAGGAGCAGCAGAGGACCCAGAGCCGCCCGCGGCAGTATAGCATTGAGCATGTGGACCTGGGCGCCCGCTACTACCAGGACTACTTCGTGGGCAAAGGTAAGGGGGTGCCGTGGCTTCTCTCTGAGACTCCCCCTGCGCATTCATTCACTGTGGCCAGGCCTTGCTCCAGTCCCTGAGGATGCAGCAGGAGGTAGACCTGCCTCTCAGTCAGGCTGTGAGGAGGCAATGAGCTGAGCCTCATCCTACACTTAGCCCAACATGTATCCAGAACCTTGAGACAATAGATACACATTAAATTAGCAAATTAGTGCTCAGTACGTCCATGTGCCAGGTTCTTCTTGACTCTGGGCACATAGAATTGACTGGCTTTAAGCAAAAATCTTAATGGTTTAGTGGGATAAGACAAAACTGGATAAATGCATGAGCTACGTACGTCATAGGGCAGAAGGTTCTGTGGAGAGAAGTAAGGCAGGGAGAAGCAGCTAGAGTATCAGGGTGGGGGGCTGCAATTTGCAGTAGGCAGTGGTCAGAGGGCCCTCTAGCTGGGTGCCACTGAGTACTAAGCAGCAGGAGGTGAGGGAGGGAGTCCGGTGGAGACTGGGGAGAGTATTTCTGGTGCAGACAGCAGCAGGTACGTTAGCTCTGGAACACAGAGAAACTAAGAAGGAAGCCAGTGTTGCTGGAGTAGAACATCTGAGAAAGCGAAAGGAGCTGAGGGAGAGAAGTGCCGGGCAGATCACGTGGGACTGGTGGACTGTGGTGAGGAATCTCACTTACCCTGAGTGAGAGGCAGCTGCCCTTGCATGGGGGTTGAGCAGGAGAGCTCCCTGAGCTGGCTCGGGGATTCGTGGCCCTCCTCTGGAGAACACGCTGTAGCTCAGGGAAAGCAGGGCAGCCAGGGAGGAGGCTGCTCTAGTAGCCCGGCAGGAGAGGACGATGGCAAGCCTAGAATGGGAGCCCAGGAGTGGAGGAACTCGTAGATTCTGGATCATTCTTGAAGGTGCAGCTGTTGATCTTCAGAAGCATTAACACCAGGGGAAGATGGGCTTCTTACACCCTTGGGGTCATTGGTGCTAGTGAATCAGTTCCAGAAGGCACCGTAGCACAGTGCAGAGACCACACACCAGACCACACTCCTGCAGGGATGAGGCAGGAAGTGTATAGAAGCGAAGCTCACCAGGAAAGGACTGAGCAGAGGGCAGCTCCTGCTTAGCTCCAGCTCACTGTTGTCATGCAGCAAATACAGACAAACCCAGTGTATCCAGCCTTTCTGATTTTTTGAGATTCTCCTGAAACTCAGATTTTTTGACGTGGGTTCTCATTTTTAGATGTTGGCAGCTGTAGCGATTCAAATTGCTTGTAACTGCCAGTTACGGGTTTAAGCTACACAGAAGTTTATTTCTCACATAATAAATTCCAGATTAGTAGCAACAACCCAGGTCTGGTATGGTCACTTTTCAGCATCAGTAGGATGCTAGTCCTCCGATTGGTCTCATGGTCTAAGAAGGCTTCTGGACCTCCAGCCATCACACCCATGTCTTCAGGAAAAGAAAGAAGAATGGGTAAGGACAAAAAGGCATACCTTCCGGCAAAACAACCACTTCCTGAGCTTTCTCAGAAACCCCATCCAACCAGTTCTGTTTTTTGGCCTCTTCTTTCTGCAAGGCAGGCTGGGAAGTACAGATTTTTAGCTAGACGTAGTCCCTTTCTTTTCCCTCTCCAAGAATGGAAGGTTTCTCATAAAAGGGGAAAACTAGATAATGGATAGCTAGCTAGTACTCCATGCCAACCAGGTAAGCAACTTTTTTTTTTAAAGCAGCATCCTCACCAGCTTAGCTCAAGTCAGCTGCTCAGGCCTCGAATTGCGGTCTCTGGGCCCCAGCATTGGAGTTAGGCAGCCCGGATTTGGGGTGTCTATTCACAGTGTATTTGCTACATGGTCCATTCCACTCCTTGGCCTCTGCCCTCTTGTGTGGAATGGAGATGATCGTAGCAGCATCAAAACAACATGATCCGGCTTAAAAATAAAGGGATGAGAAAAGAATTTCCAGACAGTTGCCAACTGAGAGAAAGGAGGTGAGGCTAGGAGAGAGGGATTAGTATCACACGAAATAGATTTCAAGGCTAAAGGCACTTGTTCAAAGAACTGAAGAGCCATTTTAAGTTTATTGTTTAAAAGTCACCAAGAAACTCAAGGAGTTGCGAACCTTTGTGTACCTAGCAACCTGATAAGGTTACAGGGAGAAACGGATGAAGCCACAATCAGTACAAGAAGCTGACAGGGTCTCTCTTTGAGCCGAAAAACAAGGCCATAGAGGACTTGACTAACCCCAGCAAAATCCAATTCTCTATTTGTTTATATATATATTAATTTTTTACTTAACACAAAACACATCCTTTTACCTCACATGGAGAAATACACCTACACGGCGGGATTGTGGTGAGGATCAAATAAGATTATTCGTTAAAATGCTTAGTTCCAGGCCTCCCCTGGTGGCACAGTGGTTGAGCGCTGGGTTGCAAGGCTGCCCACAGCCTCTGCAGCGTCAGTTCAATCCCTGGCCACCGGCGAGGGTCCCACAAAAAAAAAAAAAAATGCTTAGTTCCTTATCAGGTAAGTGGGAAGCACTCGTGGAATTTTAAAAAGCCATTTTCTTTCCAAAAGTGATGTCTTTGTAGCCTGGGAAGCCCATAAATAAATTAGTGGTTGGTCAGTGTTACTAAGTGTCCGAGGTGGGCGGAGGCTGCAAGGGGCTGGGCATGCATTGGTAGAAAACATAGAAGCAACCCCTGTCACTGCTTCAGGCATGAGCTGGTAACTGGAGTCTAACATTTGTCCTCTGGCCCGCTGGGAGCTAACCCACGGCTGTCCTGACCTGGGCCCGTCATTACCACACCTTGTAAGAGCCTTGAATGAGCCTTTGATCCACCAAGAGCATCTCCGGAGGACAGGAGCCATCAGCTAAACACCAGCAGCCCTGAAGGGAAGGCAGGTCTGGGTAGATGCTGACTTCGGGGACCTGAATCGACACAGACTTCTGGGGGGTATCCAGCCACCAAAAGCAGAGCTGTGGGTTATACAGCAGGAAGAACTGTCTGGAAGGGGTCTAAGGAAGGCGCCATATTTTAGGGGAGAGAGCAGGATGCCTTCTCCAGGGCTTGTTAAAGGTGATCATCATAAGAGAAACGGTAGTTCCAGTCTCCTGGGCTATGGAAACATGATTGGGAAAGGCGATGCCCAGGGGCTGAGTCATGGTCCTTTTTCCACGACAAACTTCTCGCTGGGCATAGTAGCCGCCAGTGTTCTTAACCACCTTGCCAGAGCTAATCGGCAGCTAAACTGAGCAAACCACTTGCAAATATAGGATAACCACAGTGAGGCTGGTTTACTCCTGCCACGCACAGTTCTGCGAGTTATACTCGTAGCTTCACTCCACCCTCATGTCAGTTCTGGGCATTGTGGGTGGCCCCCTGAGAGGCCCCCACTTCTCAGGCCCCCATTTCTCAGATGAGAGCACTGTAGGTCCTGTGACTGGGCCAAGGTGGTATAGTAAGGTGGGACCCTGGCAGTCTCCCATCGAGGGGGACCGTGACAGGCAGTGGCGTGTGTGACCAGGGTCCCACAGTTGCACAAGAGCCTGCCTGGGGATGTCACCCGTCCTTTCAGAGAGCTGACTCTGAACTCACCAGCTCTTCCCTTGCAGAGCATGCCAATTATTTTGGCGTGGATGAGAAGCTGGGGCCAGTGGCCGTGAGCATCAAGCGGGAGAAGCTGGAGGACCACAAGGACCATGGGCCTCAGTACCAGTACAGGATCATCTTCCGCACCCGCGAGGTAGGTCCCATCACTGTTGTGTTAACCCATGAGTAACCGCCGCACACACCTGTACACCCTCACACTGTGCGCCTTTGTGGGCAGGCAGTTCCCCTGCTTCCTCTCCTGTCATCCTCCCAGCCACTCAGGAGAGCGATCCTGCCAGTCTCCCTATTTCACAGAAGAGAAAACTAGGAGCCAGAAATCAACAGCTTGTCTAGGATCTATGCCTTCCTCCCCCTAGGATTGGAATCCACTGTGTCTGACTGCAGATCCCAAGATTTCTTAAATTTGGAAGAGATTCACTCTGGTAGTATAAGAACTGTAAGAAATAAAGGGGACTTATTTCAGGAACTCTCTCGGAGTCCAGAGGTGCCAGCGGAATGGAAAGAGTTAAGGCAGCATGCCCCCTACAGGGCAGGAATTGGGAGATCTCAGCAGCAGGCTCTTTTCGTGGGGTCGATCAGTTCTAGAAGCTCCTGACACCTCTCTTCATTCTGAGCAGAGAATCCCATTGTCCTGGCATGGCCACAGCTTCCCCCTGAATTAAACATCAGCTGTGGCTAGGGAACAAGGCCATTGGGGAGACCCTGGTTGTAAGTAACAGAAATCTGCTTCTACTTCTAAAGGCATTAAGTCAGAGAGAGAATTCACTGTTCCCATGTGACTGACTGTAAGAACAGGTAGGGCTAGCTTCAGGCATAGCTAGATCCAGGTGCTCAAGTGATGTCACCAGAACGCCGCTCCTTGCTGCTGTCCTTGGCTTTGCTGCTTTTCACATTGTGACTGTCCTCTGCTCCCCCCACATTCTCTCCATGGCATGGGGAATGGAGACTGCTCAGATCTTCTACATCTTTGTCCTTCTTCGCAGGGAAGGCACTGTTAGCTCTGGGTTCTCTGGAAAGGACTCTGATAGGCTCAGCTTGAAGCACAAGCCCAGGCCCCAGGCCATTCATTGTCATCAGGGGTGACGAAGGAAATTGGCCAGGTCTGAAATGTGTGCTCCACCTGGTGTCCAGGGACAGGGCAGGGCCCTGCAGTTCCATGAGAGCCACCTGGAGGAGGTGCCAGGAAAGTTCCTCAGCAAAAACCTCAGGGAGATGCCCCAAAGATCCAAGTAAGAAGCCCTTTCCAAGTAAGAAGCCCCCACAAATGGGTCTTCCTCCACCCTTGCCTAACCCCACCCCCCTCGGCCTGCCCTGGCCTTTGCCCAGATATGGGAACCCAGCAAGCCGCTGCTGCCAGAGACTTCAGATGTGGGCCCAACTGAGCCTGGGCTCCATCCAAACTGACAGATGCTGCATCAAGGGCCCGAGTCTCATCCCTTTTTGAGGGCCTTCCCGCTAGGGGGGAAATGGGATGGCACAGAGGCTCTGTGGCAACTGAGGGGAGCTCGCCCCAAAACCTCATGTCCTAGACTACAGGTGGCCACCGGCTCCTCATCTCCCCAGCCCCCTCCCACCTTTCTGGCCAGATGAACACCAGGGCAGAACAGAAGTGACAGCTCGCCCTGCCTCAGACTGTTGCGTGGCACAGGCAGAGCTGTTGGGTGAAAGGACAGTGACATTCACACTAATAAATGATATTTATTACAGTGACTATAGCGTTGCAAATCTGCTTAACACTGTTATGTCTGGTACTTTCTGCAGCCTTTATGGCTGTGCACTCAGTAGGTGTCAGGACAGTTCTATGACGAAGGCGTCTTTGTCCTCATTTACAGAAGACAAAACAGACCCAGAGACGTTAAGGGCACCCCAGCAAGTGACAGGTGGGGAAGTTGGCCTGCACTACAGCCATCACCCCACACTGCCTCTCGGACTCCATGGGGTCCTCAGGGCTCAGAGACGCAAGTCTGGGCTTTACCCACTCCACTGAGATCCTTCAGCGCTGCCACCTACCAGCCCTGGGCCAGGTGCTGAGGGGGCGGTAGCACATCAGACAGCAGAGGTGCTTGTGGGGCTCACTTGTGGGGCACAGATACCCTGTTGACAGGGTGGTGAGTGATGATGGGGAAGTAAGCAAGGAAGAAAGGGCTGAGAAGTGTGAGGAGCCGGAGGTTTAGATGATGGTCAAGGGAGGTGCTTCTGGGAGGATGACATCTGGATAAAGACCCTCAGGAGATGAGAAGGGTTCTGAGGGCAGAGGGGACAGCCACCACCAAGGTCCTGAGGCAGGGCACTGGCGTAGGTCTCAGCTCTGCCACTCAGTGCTGTGAAACCTGGGGTACCTGACTCCTTCCCTCAGAGTCTCTCCCCCTTGGGCATTGAGGTCTCCCGGGTCCATGGTGTGGGCTGGGTGGGGTCACACGTGTTGGGTAGGCGGTGCTGGGCCTGGCACTTGAGGAGAGAGTCCAGTGAGTGAGTCATCCCGGAAAGTCGCAGTCTGCTGTGCTGCCGTCACATGCCTGTGAGCCTGGAATCCTGGACCCCATGTGAGGGTCACGGCCACCAGTGCCCCTTCCTCTGCCCTCACACATGGGTGCCACTCAGACTCAGCCTGCGCCCAGCCCCCACAGAGCCGCTTTCTGGGCACTTTGACCTCCCAGGCCTCACTGTCTGGGGCTGGAGTGGGCAGGGCAGTGGCCAGCAGGGCCTGCCTCGCCTCTTCTCAAGGCCCCTCCTGTCATGGAGACAGAGCCAAGGGCCACAGCCCAGAGGTCCTAATAGCACGAGGACTGTTCCCAACAGAGTCCGTGTGCGGAAACACTTCTAGCCCATTCCTGCCAGGCACACGTGCTTTATATATCACTGGCCATCCCATGACACAGGACCCTTTATTATTTCCATTCTGTAGAGGAGGATGCTAAGCAAGAACCACGTGTTGGGGCCCCCCATGGCAGAGCTGGCCGGGACCCAGGCTGCTGTGCTGCTAACCACGCACCACGCTACCTGTTTGCTTGGTTGGTTTCTGCCTCTGGGAATAGACAGCCCTGGGTTCGGTCCAGCCGTGCCACTCCCTGGCCCTGTGACTTTGGGCAGGTGGCTTTCCCTGTGAGCACCTCAGTTTCTGCGTCTGTAAAATAGACTCATGCCATTTCCTGTCTCTTGGAGCGGCGGGGAGCGTCTCTTGGACTCACGCCCTGAGGTGGCAGCACAAGGTTGGTGGCCGGGCAGTAGCTGCTCTGGGCACCAGGTACTGTCCTGGCTGTCGCTCCTGTGGGGCCAGAGGACCATGCTGGGCAGCAAGCGTTGGGCTCAGTGACAGAGTCCTGTCCTTCTGTCCACATGCACATGTCTCGAGCTCCTGCAAACGAAGGCCTCGGGCCAGAGCGAAGGGCCCAGGCTGTTTTCCAAGCCAGCCGGCTGGCCCATCCCAGATGGCCACCCCCAGCCGCCAAGCAGACAATCAAGAGTGGGCCCGAGCTCCCGGCAGATGGGATGTGAGCATTGGCAGCACCGCGCTCCCCACAGGGGTGGGAACAGACTTGGAGCTGGGCTTTGGCACCATGTACCTAAATGTGGGCCCCCAGCCCCGAGCCTGGGCAGGATGAGCCAGAGGCCAAGACTGCCCTGTGCTGAGCCCCTTTGCTGGCACCGTCACCCGGGACACAGGGCCCCCAATCAGCGAGGCACTCTCAGGCACACCAGGACCAGCCGGTTCCCTTTAGCCAAGCAAACATGAGGTTTTGAGGGACCTTAGTTTTGCTAAGGTTAGAGCTTTGGATTTGCATTTTCTTTGTTTTGTTTTCTGATTTAGAAAATAGCAGTTGCTCATTGCTGGGAATTAAAACAGCACATGTGTGTAAAGTAGAAAAGGGAGAGTCTTGTATTGGGTGAAAAAGCAAGTGTAATAATGCTGAGTCTGTTGGGATCTCTTGTGGGTTCAGTAGGGTGTGTGTGTGTGTGTGTGTGTGTGTGTGTGTGTACAGATGATCTCCAAAGCTTACTGTTAAGTGGTGGCAAGATTGGGGAGCCAACTGGAGCATCCTATTTAAGCTTTAAAAATTTAAAAAATGTTAACTACGTGTGTGACTTTATATATTTGATACACATACATACGGTAGCAGCTAGCACATATTGAGCGAGTGGGAATTATCTTATTACAGCTTTCCAGCCCTTTGACGTAGTCACCGTAATCCCCATTTCACAGACCCAGAGAAATTAAGCCGCTTGCCTGGGGTCACCCAGCCAGGGCAGGAGCTGAACCAGGATTTGAACCCAGGCCGACCAACTGCCAAGGGACCTCCCAGGGAAAGTTCTTGCAGGGTTCTCCCATCACCCACCACAGCGAGAGGGGCGCGCCTGGGTCGGGAGCCGCAGAGGACAACCTGTGCGAACAGGAACCTCCTCCTGGCGCTCCCAAGGCCTTTTCATCGCTCACCTGACTGGTTACCTTCGACAAGACAGCGCCAGTGTGGTCAGGATCAGGCCACAGGCCCAGAAGGCTGTGCAGTGAGTTTAGATTTTATTCTGAGAGAGATGCGAAGCCCTTAACAGACTCTGAGCAGGGGAGAGATATGATCCGACTCCAGCTGCCTCATGGAGGCAGGGACTGGGGTGGGGCAGCGACAGGGGCAGAAGCCGGAAACTGGGAGGCTGTGGGCACAGTCCAGATAGAAGGTGGCCGTGGACAGCCCAAGGCAGAGAGCAGAGGGTGCTGCTCATTGCGACTTGTCAGTACCCTATTATCCCTGGGGAAGAAGGAATCACTGAGAGCTTTTGAAGTAGTGGCCCTCAGTCAGGTTGTCAGGGCCAAACGTGCAGGCTGGAAGAGTGAGGATTTCTGGTCCATGCTGACCCCCAGCCCCAGCAGAGGGCGCTGCGGGGCAGTCAGCAGGATACAAAGGCAAAGCTCCTTTTGGTGCCTGAAACCCACAACGCCCAGCCACCCAGATTGCGGGGGTTAAAAAGTGCCTGACATCATTGCATTTCATTCATGATTACGCTCAAGACTGCGCTGCTTATCCTAAGAGAAATTTGTTTGTTTATTCACCACTGGGGCCGGAGCTGGGAACTCCCAGCCACGAGATCATTCCATTCCTTTCACGCATGCCTCTTGCCCAGGCCCTGTTTGGCAAGGGTGGGCCGTGTGCTTCCAGGTGATGTCATGACACATTGTTTTTGTCTCCTCCTGTGTCTGTTGACTTAGGGGGAGTGTATTTTTTCAGTTAACACGGATCCTCAATCTCTGAACCATAGCCCCGAGTGTAGTTCAGGTGCTTGTAACATTCCCCTCAGGGGGAGGATTTTTTTTCCTTGCACTGTTGCAGTCTTCTCACTGGAGTGCTGGAGCAGCTGTGCCCAGCCCAGAGCGTGCATAAAATGGGGGCCAGCAACACATATGTATGTATGGATGGAAGCGTGAGCCAGTGTTCGTGGGGATGCGAAACAACAGGGGCCTCCAGACACAGCTAGCAGGGTGTAAATTGGTCCAGCCTCATGGAAAACTATTTGGCAGTTCAGTAAAATTCAAGATTATCATGCCTGGTGATCCAGCAATTTCTCTCCTGGGTATAAACCCACAAGAAAATGTGTTCACATGCACTGAGAGGTGCTGCTCAAAAGGATCATAACAGCACTGTCCACAGTCATCAGATTCGGGAGCCACGTCCATGCCCGTGAGCGGGAGGACCGATGAATCCGTTGTGTTAAAACGTCAGCCTCTTGCAGCAATGATATCGATTCTCATATCCACAGGACTAAGAGAAAGAAGCCACATACTAAAGAAACAGTGAGCATGACACTCAAAAAAGTCAGAACTAAATTAGGACATTAGAAGTCAGGGTAGAGAGCAGGAGAGGGGCACAAAAGGGCTTCTGGGGGCTGGGAGTGTTGCATTTCTTCATCTAGTAGCGAGTCCCCAAGTGTTCTCTCTGTGAGAATTCCTTTAGTTGCACTTACATGTGCTGTGTGTTTTTTCTGTATGTGGAATATACTTCCCAGTAAAAGGAAGAATTCAAGGGGGTTAATGTGCTGAGCTTTGGAGAAGTCTGGCCTGGCTCGGAGTCTTGGTTCAGCCACATAGTGCTGGTGACCTTCGACAAGGCACCTAACCTCTTGGAATTTCAGTTTTCTCATCTGTGAAATGAAGATATTAAAAGCACCCCGATCGGACTAGTGCATATAGTTAGATAACACTTCAGTACCTGGAACGCCATGAAATAAACTGCCCTTTCATTGATGCGGCTCATCACTAAGATTCTAGCAGTTAGAAATTGCTTCATCTGCAGAGTAACAGAAAACCTGACTAACCACAGCCAAAGCAAATGGGTTATTTAATTTTCTCACAAGAAGTCTGAAAGTAGGCAGCTGCAAGGATCAACTTCCCTGGGACTATTTTTTTTTAATCACCTCTTTCCTCATGATCGCAAGGTGGCTGCCACAGCGCCAAGCATCTTATCCTCACACCAATGTCCCTAGCCAAAAGAAATGGATGGGTAGAAAGGGGCTTTCCTTTTCCCAGGGAGGGAAATCTGGCCTAAAAGACCTCTCCAGGCCCCTAACACACCTTATATTACAGTGTTGGAACTGTGGCCAGCTGTAGGAAAAATTTGGACAGCAACCTCTCGGGAAGGGAAATAAAATGGCCATGATTGACTTGATTAGAAGTTTTCAGCCTGACTACACATCAGAATCACCCATGTGATATTAAAACTCTGTGTCCACACACGTGTGCACATACATGTGCACAAATATGTATATGTATGTATACATATTTGTGCGCATGTTTTCATGGACACCCCACCACCACCAACACACTGAATCAGAACCACCAGTGATGACTTTGTTAGGAACTAGGTTGAAAACCAGTGCCACAGATCTAGATGGTGCCATTGTCCAGGACAGGCAGATGTTTTACATAAGAGCTCACAGTAGCATGTTCCTGTAAATATTATTGTAATGACAGTGAGAGTGTCCGTTTGAGTGGCCACCTTGTGGAGCTGGGTCATCTATCATACTTCTGTCTGGCATGATCTCTTTCCTCGCTCGAATGTCAGTTCCCGGAGGAGGGGGTCTTTGCTTTGCCCCCCAGCGCTGGCATTTAAGAAGCTCTCGGTCAATATTTGTTGAACAAATGAAAGTATGTTCTGTCCATTGTCTTGAGTCCTCCCAGCACCACCCTGGAGTTATGATACATCACGAAAGAAGAAGCTGAAGCTCAGAAATTGGAAGTCATTTGGTTAAGGTCACACAGCCGGGAGGCAGCATGTTCAAGTCCTAGCCCAGATCCGGGGCTTCCGACCATGGCACGTGTCACTTTGGGGACAGGACCCCCCTGTTCTGAGCTTCTCCTAACCTTCCCTTCTCTCCCTCGAACAGCTTATCACCCTGCGGGGCTCCATCCTGGAGGACGCCACGCCTACTGCCACCAAGCACGGGACCGGGCGGGGCCTCCCCCTGAAGGACGCGCTAGAGTACGTCATCCCTGAGCTCAACATCCACTGCCTGAGACTGGCTCTCAACACCCCCAAGGTGACGGAGCAGCTGCTGAAGCTCGACGAGCAAGGGGTGAGCCGGGGCCAGGGTGGGGGGGCCACTGGGGCAACAGCCTACACCCCCGCTCCAAACCTGGTCTCTCTGTCTTGGTCACGCACCCCCCTCCCAAGACAGCACACTATGCCAATTTCAGTAAAAGGATGGGTCCTTTAGAAAATTCTGGGGTGCCAAGAACAGGATGTGACTGGGTCTTAAGAGGGAAATAGTCTGGGGTGAGACAGCTGCCAGGTGTGTGTGTGTGCAGGCCTGCACACCCCTCTGTGCACACTGGCTTCCTCGGCTTCCCTGGCCCTCCCTCAGCTTCCAGGGTCACTGTTAGAATGACAGTCACATCAGACCACGGCCAGCTGCCTCGCGGTCCCAGGAGAATGTCTGACCGGCCTGTGCTAGGGTCAGGTCTGTCCACCATTTAGTCACTGGGGACCAGGTTCCGGGATCAGTGATGCAGAGACGAACACTGGAGACCCAATTCCTAAACTTCATTTAAAAAAAAAGCATTGGGCCTCCCCGGTGGCGCAGCGGTTGAGCGCTGGGTTGCGAAGCTGCCTGCGGCCTCTGAGGTGCCAGTTCGATCCCTGGCTGCTCCCCAGCCACCGGAAGAGGGTCCCACATGATGCGCAGACCTCTCCTGCTGCCCGCTGCTCCCCTCAGCAGTGTACTTTGGTCCTTCTGCCTGCTCTGCTCCCCGCTCTGGCTCTGGTGAATTCTCTCACCCTCCCGTGCTTCTGACTGTACCCAGTGCTTGTATAAATAAATAAATATTTAAAAAAATAAAAATTAAATAAATAAATAAATAATAAAAAAAATAAATAAATAAAAAAGCATTGACTTTCCTGAGTCCTGAACCTTCCCGAATTCCCTTTCACAAAATAACCAGTTCCAGTCCACCTCCTGTGGGCTGCCGGCCAAGCAACTCTTTGAGCTGACAGAGCGGCCTCGCCAGCCTCTGTGGGAAGAACAAGAACGGGCGGCATGGACACCTTGTCTTGCCTTCTGGAATGAGGAGGGGGTGGGGACAGGGACACACCCCATTGCTTTTTCCTTCCTTTCTGGCTGTGGTGCTGAATTCTTCCATGACCCCGCAGCCTCGTTCCCTCCTGCACCTCTCGGCCTGGCCGCCCTTCCTAAAGTCGCTCTTGCCTCCGCAGCTCTGCCGGAAGCACAAGGTGGGCATCCTCTACTGCAAGGCGGGCCAGAGCTCCGAGGAGGAGATGTACAACAACGAGGGGGCGGGCCCTGCCTTTGAGGAGTTCCTGTCCCTCATCGGGGAGAAGGTCTGCCTGAAGGGATTCACCAAGTATGCCGCCCAGCTGGACGTCAAGAGTAAGTGGCTGCTCGGCCTCGTGGGGGAGCCAGGGAGGTCACGGGGATCCTTTGTCGCCCACCACCCACGGGCCACAGCCATAAGGCCTGGTCATGCCAAGGTGAGACAGGGGCATGGGGAGCCCACTGGTGGGCAGGCAGAGGGTACAGCCTCATCTAGTGAGAGGCAAAGACACTCCCCTCAATGTGGACTCGGGCACGTGCATGTGCGCGCCAGACCGGTCCTGCGTGTCCACACCTGCAGAGCCTGGGCGGCGCCCCATGCACTGGCAGCCATTGAGCTGGTGTGGGCACCTAGCAGGGTGCTGTGTCACGGTGATGACGACCAGCTGAGCCTCAGTTTCTGCTTCATATTGCACACGGCTGGGGCCTCAGAAGAGTGGGCACCCGAAGATGCTCATGACACGATGGTTACTCTCAGAGCACGCTGCACCCTATGCTGTGTGCGGAGCGGGGGTCATCTCCCGTAAAGCACTGGAGAGAAGCGGAGGAAAACAGGCACAATGTCCAGGACAGTGGTTCCCCTTCCAGGGAGAGGCTGCATAAGCTGGAAAATGAGTGTCACGTTAGAATATCGGGGGCGATTTCTTTCTTAAGGGGATTGGTAGCTACGACGTAGCCGATGCGGCATTTCTCGTGTCTGTGTGAGGTGTCCAGGGTTGAAGTGTTTCACGATGAATAGTTTCAGGGGATGTTTCAGGGCATCCTGATCTGGGTCACGGCTCCCTGGGGCAGGACTGCTATTGACCTTGAGGTGGGCTGCTGGAGATGGGCACCTTACCTCACGAAGCCTCAGTTTCCTCATCTGGATGAGGAGACTCAGCTTAGAGAGATGAGTCAGGTCTTAAGCAGGTGCCTGTGGCGTCACCACCTTCACCTACTCTGCTGAAGGAGGCAGTGGGGGAGGAAGCATATCGTGCCAGTTGCCAGCTCTGTGGACCTGGACAGTGTCTTTCCCTCTCTCTGCCTCAGTTTCCTCCTCTGTAAAGCGAGGGCAATACTTGGGCTTACCTGGGGAGCATGGTGTTAAACTGAACACCCCAGCCTTGGCACCCCCACCCCCTCAGGTCAGGGAGGACCTTATGCGCACGCGCGTGCTGGGGCAGCTGCCTCCCACCACACGCAGGGCAGTGTGAGCAGTGCTGTTGTTTTGCTGTGACACAGTTTCCTGCCCCACTAAAGGGGAAGTACATTCAGACAAGTGGAATCGGGGGCTTATTATCCCCCTTCTCAGATGACCGCTCCTTGGGCTGGGCTCCTCCTCAGTGACACCCTTAGTCATGCCCCTCACCAGAAGCCTGTGAGGATCGGCTGCCTAGCACGGAGCCAGAAAGAGAATTAGCACTGCTGAGTGTCCGCTCTGTGGGGAGCGGATTTCCTCAGGAGAACCTGGGCGCCCAGGGCTCCTCGCCAGTCTCCCCAGCTAAGAAGCAGGGGTGCTATAGGGTTGCTGGACTCTAGCACTGGCCGCCCACAGCTTTGGTGTCCTCACCTGTCACAGCTTGTCCCCAAGAACATATGCCTGCAAGGACAGGGACTCCTTGGCCTGTTTTATCCACCGTTTCCCCAGCACCTGCAGTTGACCAGAGCTGACCTGTGGCTCCTATAGCTCAGGGGATACAGCAGTGGTCTTGTAAACAGCTGGTGTAGCAGAGTCCCCACAGGGCACGGGGAGTACTCCCATGGGTGAGGGTGACGCCAGCGGTTACTGCAGCATGGCTGGTGTGGTCACTCGTGTGCTGCGAGACTCCCTGGGCAGGGAGGAGCACTTCAGGACGAGATGAGCTTATCTAGGGAAACTGGCCTCGTGTCAGGGCTGGGGAGGTTCGCTTGAGAACATGTGGCCTGAAAGGGAGAAGTTGAACCAAAATGGGCAAAGAAGGAGCAGGAAAAGCAAAGTTCTGTTCACCAAGTGAGCAGAACAGTACAAGCAAAGGCCCTGCGGTCTGGGAATTAATGTGGAGGATGAAGTGAGGGAGGCAGGCAGGGACCCCATCATCCAGGGCCTTTAGGGCTAAAGATTAGGGATTTGGATCTGTTTCCTGTGAGGAGTGTGAAACCCTTAGTAGGCAACACTGAGTACTATTAAGAAATACTGAGGAGTCAGACTGCCTGGCGTTCCAGTCCACAGTCGCATTGCAAGTCACGTCCTGCACCTCAGTTTCCCCCTCTGGAAAGGAGGGCCAATAATTGGGTATGCTTCTCCCTGCCATACGCCTTCTCAAATTAGAGCTCACCACAGTCTGGGTCCTCGCCATCATTTTCTTCTTCCTAGTTTTTTTGCTGATGTGCCTCCCTGTGAGTGGACGTGAGCACCCCTGAGTGTGTGGCCCCCCTCAGCCTAGCACACCCACGTGGTGTGCTAACTCGCCCCTTTCATGGCTGGGTCTTTCCACAATTTGAATACACAAGTTTATCTATTGTTTTGACTGACATTTGAGTAAACTTGCACCCATATCGCAAGGCACATGTGTTTGATCTCTGTGGGCTGTGGTCCTGGAAGAGGAAGTGCTGAGTGCTCCGTTCAGCCTAGCTCCAGGTTTTTTGTTTTTTGTTTTTAAGATTTATTTATTTATGGGCCTCCCCATTGGCTCAGCGCTTGAGCACTGGGCTATGAAGCTGCCCGCAGCCTCTGTAGCACCGGTTCGATCCCTCGCTGCTGGGCGAGGGTCCCACATGGCGTGCAGACCTCTCCTGCCGCCCGCTGCTCCCCTCAGCAGTGTACTTCGTCACTCTGCCTCTTCTACTCTCCGCTCTGGCTCTGGTGAATTCTCTCACCCTCCTGCACCTCTGACTGTACCCAGTGCTTGTATAAATAAATAAATCTTTTTTAAAAAAAAAATGATTTATTTATACATATAAGAACTGGGGCACAGGCCAGAGATGCAGGGGGGTGAGAGGTTTCACCAGACACAGAGTGGGGAACAGAACAGGCAGATCTACAGAAACACACTGCTGAGGGGAACAGAGGGCAAGTCAGGAGAGGTCTGCTGTGCCATGTGGGTATCTCCCTGCAGGGACTATGGACAGCTTCATAGGTTATGTCTTAACCCCTTGTGCCACCAGGTTTAACAGATGTCACTAACAAGTTTTCCCAAGTGGTTCTACCAAGTTACACACCTGCCCAGCCACATCTACAGTTCCAGTTGCGCCACATCCTCACCAACCCTTGGTACTGTTAGACTAGAAAATTTGTCCCAATCCAGTGGGTGTATAACATAAGGTTTCCTTTTTCTCAAAATTCATTTAATTTTCAAGAGTGGAGTTAAGTGAAAACATCAAGTTAAAAACTAGCACAGATGGTGTGTGGGACATGGCAAGAGCCCAGTGGTTTTAGAACCGTGGCGCTGACTGGTGTTTCTGTTTCAGCCGACTCCACGGGAACCCACTCCCTCTACACGACGTACCAGGACTACGAGATCATGTTCCACGTCTCCACCCTGCTCCCTTACACCCCCAACAACAGGCAGCAGGTCAGTGGGGCCCAGGGCAGGAGCCCCAGATGATTCCATCGGTGCACAGCTGACCCCCAAGGTGCTCTCCCTCCCAATGGCTTTTGCCGGGTGCCTGCCTGGCGTGGCTCCCTTGGGACTCTCCTGTATGGCTGATGGATGCCTTTGGCCTTAGAGAACCTCTGCCCCACAGTCATTTCCCTTGAGGGTTGGAAACTAGAACAGGTGTCACTTGATGTCTGTGTTGTTCTAGCACCCTGGTGCACCTAGCTACCCAACTCCCATCAAACTCTTGAGTCATCAGGGGTCCAATGAAGAAGAGTGAGTCAGTCACTCTTTCGAATGCAAGTGACAGCAAGGTAAACCAAACAGGCATAAGGAAAGTGGGGGTTACTGAGTCCTATAATCTAAAGTGCTGGGAGGGGGCTAGCTTTAGGTATGACTGGATCCAGGCACTCAAATAGCGTTGGGAATCCTGTCCATTTCTCCCTCTGCTTCTCTTCATGGTTGCCTTAGCACAAGTCACAAGTAGTGGCACATGTGCCTCCAGTGACGTCCCATCAGCAGAGCCACCCCGGGGGAAAGAGCTGTTCTTTTCAGGGCCGAACCTGGTTGGGCCACTTACATGCTAGTCCCTGGACCTGAGGTGTGGTTGGGATGGCTGAAGCACATGCCCAGCCCAGAGAGGGTGAGCGGAATCAGCTCAACTTGAAACAAGACAGAGATGAGGGAGATACTTTCCCAAAGGGCATGGATGTGACTTTGACAGGAGGAAGGGGTGCCGGGAGCAACCAAACAGTGTGGTGTTAAGAGCATTGGACTCAGAAATGGGCCTGAGTCCACGTCTTCCTTTCCCACTCTCTCCTCTCCGAGCCTTGCGTCCCCGCTCTGTAAAACAGGCAGAATGACAGGGCCCTGGCCTCGGGGTCCTCAGAAGAGCTCCCTGCACTCACGCACAAAACCAGAGCGTGAGGCAGGACCCCACCTGGGAAAAGCCCAGGAAGGGTCCGAGTGCCTGGGCATTTGGGGGTAGCCTCCAGCAGAAGTGGGGTCCTGTCTCTCTCCACCCGTGACGCTGAAGGGCAAGTCATGCAGCCACTGCGAGCCCAGGTTTTGTCTTCCGTGAAAGGGCAGGATGAGTTCAGGCCTCCTAGGGTTGTCATGAAGATTAAATGAGAGTGCGAGTTCAGATGTGGATGGAAAACAGCAGTGTCGACCGCAGTAAGCGGGTGCGTTGTCTAGCATTTTCATCCAGCTTAACACACACATCCGTAAAGCACTGGCAGTTCAGTCGTGCAAAGTGTGTCTGGGGTTCACCTGGGCCCCTCATGGGTGCTCCTGTCTGTAGAGCTCATGGCCCAACCTGGATTCTTAATAGCTCTGAGAAGGCTGAACTTGCGTACCTAAGAGCAGTGTGATTCAGCAGCTACACAGAACCCCCCAATCCCATCATAGCCTGCAGAGACAACAGCCCTTCTCAGAGACTGTGACAATGGCCAGAGGACAGAGCTCCCGCGGGCCAGCAGGTGGCAGCTGCCCCAGCCCCCTCAGCCCAGCATCTGGGCATTGCCTGCGGTCTGACTCCTCGCATGACTTTGAACAAATCAGAGGCTGCCGCCCGGCCCCTCCAATAAATGTTTGCGGTGCCCCTGCTGTGTGCTGGGCACTGTTTTCAGCACTGAGGAGAAGCAGGGAGCACTGAACAAAACAGACAAATCCTGTCTTCATGGTGCATACACTTTTGTGGGTGGGGAGAGACCGTCGAGAAAAGAAAGGAGCACTGAACAGCTCCTCTGGGCCTCTTGTTGTTAACTGTTGCAAGGTGGGGGGGGGGGGTCAGGTGGAGGGGCTGAGACCTTGGATAACACAGTGAAGGCCTCCATGGGAAGGTGACATGGCAGCCAAGGCCTGAAGAAGGGAGGGAGTGAGGGAGCCATGTGGGGACCTGGGGGAAGAATGTTCCAGGTAGAAGGAACAGCCAGTGCAGATGCCTGGAGGAAAGACTTGTGGCACAGCAGCCGGGGGCCTGTGGCCGGAGCAGAGGGGGAGAGTGGGAAGAGATGTTAGGGGTGCACCCCCCCACCCCACCTGACCCCAGGGCCATGCGGTGATTGTCCTTTACCCAGAGATGGAACCACAGGCAGGCTCAGGGCAGGGAGGGACATGACCTGACCCAGGTGGAACAGGGAGACAGTGATGGGGGGACCCTTCGAGAACAACCTGTGACGCTGCCCCTCTGCTTGCCCTTGACCAGCTACTGCGGAAGAGGCACATAGGAAATGACATCGTCACCATCATCTTCCAGGAGCCTGGGGCGCTGCCTTTCACGCCCAAGAACATCCGCTCGCACTTCCAGCACGTCTTCATCATCGTCCGAGCCCACAACCCCTGCACGGAGAATGTCTGCTACAGGTGTGCACCTCCCCAGCTGTCCATGGGGAGCCCCTTCCCCGCACAGCCCTCCCCCACCCTGCACACGCAGGCAGTTAGGGGCGCAAGCAGACAGCTGCCCGGGGGGGGCTGCCTCTTTTGCTGCAGCAGGGAGCTCCGTGCACACATTACCCACACCCTCGAGGGGAGTCATTCTCAACCAGTGATGGTCTTGATGAAGAAATCATCAGGGTTTGTATTTGCCTGGAATCTTTTGGTGGCAAGTGACAGAAAACCCACCTCAGTTTGGCTTGAGGTGAAAAAGTAGTCGGGTACATGGCCTGGGGGTGCAGGGGCAGGCCGGAGACCTCCTCAGGAGGTGCAGCCCAGGGGCTTTGGTTCACAGATAAGCGAGCAACAAGGCCGCAGGCCCAGGCAGCTCCCTCCCCAAGCCCAGACTCTCACCCGAGGGAGTAGCTGGCCTCTACAGACCAAATGGAAAGCTGTCTGGGTGTGGGCTGAGGAGAGAGCTGTGTCCTTTGGAGACCATCAGTAACCCAGAGCCAGGTCAGCACTAGTCCCCGGAGCAGCCCAGCAAACTCAGAGGAATGGGCCAGTGAGTATTATTTTCTATTTTTTGAAAAGTAGTGTGAAATTCAAAGGCTACAAAAGCCCACCTCTGACTCCCAACCACCCAGTGTTGTTGCAGAAGCAGCCACTGTTAGCAGTCCCGTGGTCCTGTTAATCTTACATACACACGTGAACACTTACAAGTATTCCTCTTCTTTTTAATGGCATATCACACGCACTGTTGTGCGTCCCCCGTTTTTTCACTCAATAGTCTTTGAGAACTATCCATAGCAGTGCATAAAATGCATTTTCATTCTTTATGCCTGCAAACCATTCTATCTTGTGGATGCATGAGAGTCCTCTCCTGCCCCTTGTGGATGGACATTTGGGCTGTTTCCTGTCATCTGCTATTGCCGTCCATCCTGCCACAAGCAGCCTTGTTTATCCTCTCACTGCTCATGTGCCCAAGTATCCAGCAGGAGGAAAAGCTCCTTAAAATGCAAATACTACCTCAAAGGATATGTGCATACGGGCACTGGTAGTCTTGGTAGAATTTCTAGAATCTAGCGGTTTCTTCTCTTGGCCACTGTATGAGAGGTGGCAAGAGGATTCCAGTGTGCAGAGCCTTTAGTTAAGAACCACTGTGCTTGCCCAGGGGGCAGCTGGGAGCCAGCACTCTGCATCCTCCATGCTACCCAGACCCCCTCTCTCCGCCCATTCATTCAGGGACACCCAGCAGCAGTGCCATTGCCCAAGTCTCCCTGCTGTGTGGCAGCAGGGACTCTAGGTAGCGTGTTCTCTGGGAGCTGAGTGGGAAGGAAGATGGAGTTGGCCTGTAGACTCCCCCCTAGAAGGCTGCCCACTCAGGGCATCAGGGGCTAATGCTGCTCCCCTTCCTCCTCCTATCGTCCCCCACCAGCTCCCTTTCCCCCGCTGGCTCATCCCAGGAGCCCAGGGCCAACCCAGGAGCCCAAGGCCAAGCTCCCACCTTTCAGTCCAGCCTCTGCAGGGTCTCCAGGGTGGCTTCTTTTTTCTGACGTGGGAACCTTTCTTTCTTTCTTCTTCTTCTTCTTCTTCTTTTTCTTCTTTTTTTCACAATTTAATTTAAAATCTTTTTATTATGCAATATTTTAAACATTCTGAAAAGGACAGAAAATAATTTGACAGACACCCATGTGCCTACCACCAGATTGAACAGATGTTAACATTTTACCAATTTGCTTCCTCATTCTCTCTTTTCTTTATTTTTAATGCAAGAAATGTTAGCAATACAACCAAAGCCTCCGCCTCCCACGCCCTCTCCCTGCGCGGCCTTCCTTTCCCGCAGACAGCTGCTCTCCGGCCAGCGCACGCCGTCCCCTTGTGTCCCCAGACAGCCCTCGCCACGCCGTAAAAACCACTTACTGATGCGACCCTCGCCTTCCTTGGAGGTTGCATTCCCCATCCTGTCCCTGTCACAGCCCAGTACTCACCAAGCTGTGGGCCCTAAAGACGCCTCGGCTGGCTGGACACGCCATGGCCAGTGCCACTGTCCCAGCCCAGCCAGACGCAGGAGAGAAATGAATACCCCACCCTGCTCCTGAGCCATTGTAAGCACTGAGAAAACGGTCGTTGATCCAGTAATTGTGATGAGTATTCTAGAAATACTTACTGAATCGCAGCGACCAGGTGGCCTGGGGCCACACCATCTCGTGCCAGTGCCCAAGGTGTGTCCCTGCTGTTCTGAAGACACGTCTGCACCTGCCACCTGCGGGCGGGGAAAGCCGGCCCTTCCTGCTGCCCTCAGAAAGAGGGACCAGCTGTTCTGCTGTCCGGAAACCTTTAGCAGCTTGGCAGTTGTAGGATTCTTAAAATTATGAATCGGGACTCTGGGAAAAGCCCACGTCAAACATTCTGATTGATTAGCCCAGCACTGAATGACGAAGTTGCGGGCTCTTCACCTCTCTAAAGCCCCAGAAGGCCCCTTGAGTGAGAGCTGAGGGCCTGATGAGGTCATTGCCCCCCTCCCACCTGCCTGGGGCGATGCCACACCCATGAGGTTTTCCCCCCAGGAGAAAAAGAACCTGGTTTGCGGCCTCTGAAGATTCTGTCCACTGGGCAGAGCTTTTCTTTGTGAAACCTGCACCCACTGTACACCAGCAGAAATCGGTTTCTTCTTGGCTTGGTGTGCAAGTTGAAATCATTACTTCAATCTGCGTTGTGTGCCGGTGCTAGGGCATCAGCTCAGCCCAGGTGGCCCTGTCCCAAAGGCACTCCACACATGGGCCACCCGCAGTGGAGGCTGCCAGCCTCACTCTTGTCCCCTGCATGCCCTCTGGTCCCTTCCAGTCCTTTCTTCACAGAGCAGGGCAGCGGTGGTGATCTTTGCAAATTGTCAGTCTGCCTGTCACTCTCTGTTAGCACCTCATCCGCTAGGACCCAGGCGGTGCCCCATCTTTCATTTTAACTGCAGGGAGCTGATGAACTGACAACCAACAGGTGTGGGCGGGTTAAGGGAACCTCCTAACAGCAGGGCCTCCTAACAGCAGGGAATCATTATCCCACCCCTCAGCTTGGAAGGGCCCTCATGCTGGAAGCTAGAAAGAGTTGAGTGTCTGGGAGAGCCAGCCAACCGGAGCTGTGGCCTTGAGAAGACCAAGGATTACAGCCACTGTTACTACCTCGGCCTTGCTGGGAGGCAATAAGGAGACGTGAACACCCCACCTGCTCCTCTTACCTTGTCACCTACCAGTGCTTCCTGTAGGCCAGACTCAGCTAGAAGCCAGAGGACATGGGAGCCCTGGTGAAGGTGGCACAGCCCACAGAGACTGTCCTTCTAGGCACCGAGCAGGGCAGAGATTGTGTGGCTGCTTGCTGTCATGAGAAGGCTGAGAAGTGCTCACGCACCATCAAGGCCCTGCGTGGCGCCTGGTGGCCTTACCCACCTCCTCTTCACTCTCTGGGCTCTGGCCTCCCTGACCTTGTTCTGCCCTGTGTGTGCTCTTTTCCACAGAGCCCTTTCCTGCAGCTTTCCCCCTCAGCTCTTTCTCAGGCTGCTGATCTGTCTAAAATCTCAGATTGTCACCTCCTCAGAGAGGCCCTCCCAGATTCCCCCTGTCCACATCAGCTCCTTCTGTTCTGTCATACCCCACTCTCTCTCCTTGTGTTTACAAGTTAGAATATGAGTATGTTTGTGGAGTGTATCTCTCCTCCTAGAAGCTCAGGAGAATAGGGACCACTATGTCCCCAAAGCCCGAGAGAACATCCTAGAAATACATGTCAGACAAATGTGCTGTCCTTGTGAAATTGGTAAGATGGTGAGTTGGGAGTCAAAACCTGAACCAGCCATCCATTGTGGTGGGCCTCACAAACATGTTTAAGCTCCCCCACCCCCACCCCAATGCTTGGCCAGAGCTTCTCCCCCATCACAGCTTGGGGCTGGAAGCCTTGACCTCCCCTCTGTCTCCACCTTGCACTTCTCCCAGCCTCGCAGCTGCCAGTTTCTGGCCTACCTGGCATCAAAGCACAAGGAAGAAAGGGGAGGCAGGGAGGTGTCACCGGGACTGTGTGCTCCCTTGACTCCAGGAGCCCCTGACCCACCTGCAAGATCTCCCAGGCAGAGGCCAGACTCCAGTCCCCTCCCAACTCTGGGAGGCCTCCACAGGGAAGTGGGGGGAGAGTAGAGATAACTGGGCTTTGTCCAAAGAATTCTTTGTCCAAAGAACTCCTCCCAGGGAGGTCTTCCCTCTAGTTAGTGCAGTGGGTGAGGCAAAGATCATGTTTCTGCGTTCTCACGCAGCGGCTGTCTGATTTCTGTCACATTGTCATCTCTGTCAGAAATGAAGTAGGAAGGGTCCCATCCTTCCTGGTACAAAAAATTTTCGAGATGGCGATTTTGGAGATGACTTACAAAGTGTAGTAAATGTTGCTACCCAGTATTCCTGTGATGCTGCTGCTTGACAAGCCACTGCCACATGCAGTGGCTCGCAAACGCAAGTATTTCTTTCTGGCTCACAGAAAGCTGCCAGGTCAGCTGGGGTCAGACTGACCTTGGCTTCAGGCCACTGGTCGAGTCCAGGTCTGCTCCAGGTGTCCCTCAACCCTCTGGGACCAGTAAGTCCCCGATACAAGTTCATCTCTGGGATCTTGGGGATGGAGCAGGAGAAGCAAGCTCCCCGCACCCATGTCATGCCTTTGCTTGACAGCCATTGGCCAAAGCAGGTCACTTGACCCTGGGCCCAGGATAAATGGGGGGGTGGGAGGGGATAGATCTGCCCGTGAAGGTAGAGTAAGGAATGAATTTTTGCCAAACTATCATCTCATCTTCCCCAGAAATCTATATGTATGTAGAACAAGAAGAACTCCAGTCAAATGATACTATTATTAGTCTTTGGATTTCAGCAGATGGTCAAGCAGTCCACTATGTAGGAAGCAAAAATGTGTGTACGTGCCCTAAGTAAAGCATTTCACTCATTAGGGTTGGCGTCCATTGTCGAAACGCAAACTGACTGACCGGCTGTTTTCCCTTCTGCCATCTAAATGATTTCTCCTTCCGCAGTATGGCTGTGACCCGATCCAAAGATGCGCCTCCCTTCGGCCCCCCCATCCCCAGTGGCACCACTTTCCGCAAGTCTGACGTCTTCAGAGACTTCTTGCTGGCCAAGGTCATCAACGCGGAGAACGCCGCGCACAAGTCGGACAAGTTCCACACCATGGCCACCAGGACCCGCCAGGAGTACCTCAAGGACCTGGCCGAGAACTGCGTCTCCAACACCCCCATCGACTCCACTGGCAAGTTCAACCTCATCTCCCTGACCTCCAAGAAGAAGGAGAAGACCAAAGCCCGGGCGGGCGCCGAGCAACACAGCGCAGGAGCCATCGCCTGGAGGGTGGCGGCGCAGGACTACGCGCAAGGGGTGGAAATCGACTGCATTTTGGGCATTTCCAACGAGTTTGTGGTGCTCCTGGACCTGCGCACCAAGGAGGTGGTATTCAACTGCTACTGCGGGGACGTCATCGGATGGACCCCCGACTCCTCGACACTCAAGATCTTCTATGGGCGAGGGGACCACATCTTCCTGCAGGCCTCCGAGGGCTCAGTGGAGGACATAAGGGAGATTGTGCAGAGACTGAAGGTAAGGGAGGGGTCTGACGGGGTGGCAGTCCTGTGGCTTGGCAGGGGCCTTAGGAGCCCCTGAAGTCCTCCCCAAGCCCATCCATGAGGCCAGGAAGTGACTGGGCCCACATTTGTCACACTTGAGGTCTGATGGGCCCCGCAGTCTGGGCTCTTTCTGGGCCGTGGGTCCAAGACTTCACGCGGTCACCCGGAAGGGACAGGAGGCATGTCATCTCAGTCTGTGTGTTGGTAGGAAAGTTAAGTTTAAGCTTGTTCAAAATGTCAGGGTACTCTCTAGAGGAATTAAAGCAGATAAAAAACTCAAATCATTAGAAGATAGGCATCAGCAGGGCAGGGGATGCGAGCAAGCCTGGTCACACACAGCAAGCACAGAGTTACATGGTGGGAATAATCCACATTAGTCATCACAGAAATGTGACTATTTTAACATCCCCACGCACAGACTGGCGGTCTGGATAAAACTCTTACCCAGAATCCCTGGTGGGCAGCTCAGGCTTGACTCACTGGCCGGACTTGAGGGTGGCAGGTTGGTTCAAATCAGGTGACAGCTGAGTTGGTGATGGCTACGGGAAGCCGTGAGCCGCGTCCTCTGCTGCCCTGCGCATCAGGAAAGGGGCTCAGGGCTGGGCTCTCGGGGATGGGTGGGAGGTGAGAAGGGCGTGTCACGTGAGTGACGGGAGACGCATGACATGGTGGTTAGAGCCGCAGCTTCCCCGGTCAGAGGCCTGGCTTCAGATCCCGGCACTGCCGCTCTGGGGTGGATCACTTCTCCACTGTGTGACTCGGTTTCCTCATCTTAAAAATGGGAACAATCATCCTCTGACATGATGCGTGAGATTAAGAGCTGGATGAGTCATGTTGCCCCAACAAACCTGCCTGGCGTGGTGGGCCGTGACCCCCGCGTACTGCTGACTGCCCTCACCCTTCTAAGCTGGTGCTAGTTGGCTTGGTAAAGCCCTGCTCCCCATCTCCCTGACTCCTAAATTCATGCCCAGCCTTACTTAGAACAACAGCCAGGGTTTTGTCTCCCACTGGGGTGTGAGGTTGGGGACCAGGACCTCCATCTGCTTTGTGCACTTCTCTCACATGAGTGGATGGGGCCAGCGCATGGTGCGCAGGGCATCTGATGAGTTAGGGGGATCTCACACGCCTCCACCCACCCTACAGAGAAGGGAGCGTCTCTCTCTCTCCACTTAACGGGCGAGCACTTGGAGGCTTATCCTGGCCTAAGGTCTCACAGCCCTGAGTGGCAGATTGGCTTTGAGTCGAGGTCTCCTGGGTCCAGGCCCCCGAGTGGGATCCTACTGTTTAAGGCAGCATCTCCACTCGGGTGTCGTTAGACCCTAGAAACCTACGTTGGCCCCCCGCCTCCTGGTTTCCTGTGCCAGTAAGGACAGGCCATCGCGCCATTGGTCAGGTCAGGTCAGATGGCATCAGCCTTGCTCTGACACCCACCTGCAGCCTGTCAGCCCCAGCCCCAGCAGGCTTCAGCTGCTGCTTCTCCACCCTGGCCTCTTCTGGACGATCCATAGGCCTCCGTGCTGGTCTCCCTTGCCTCTGCCCTTGCCTCCCTGTCATCCTTAGAACACTAGGAGGAGCTGCTCGTGGCACTGCTCTGCTTACTCCCGGGAAAGCTAGCATCTTCTGGTGGCCCCGAGGCCCCACATGGTCCGGCTCCCTGGTGATCTCTCTGACCTCATCTCCCTACTGGTGGCCCCCAGCAGCCTTGATGACCTCAGCTCCCCATTGCTCTGTTGTTTCTCCAGCATGCCTGGCAGGCATTCAGCCTCAGGGCCTTTGCGCTGCCTGTGCCCTCTCACTGGAGCACTTGCCCCATATGGCTCATCCCCCCACTCTTTTAGGCCTTTAGTTAAATGTCCCCTGGTCAGTGAGGCCTCTGTGTCTAAATTTGCAGAACCCCCCTCACCTTGCCCTGAACACATTCCACCTGCCTTTCTTAACTTAGTTTTCTGTGTAGTGTGTGCCACCTCTGATGGCTGTTAATGTGTGTGTCATTCCCCTGTGCCCTCAGCACCTTGTCCAGCACCTGGTGTGCAGCGGACACAGGGTAAGCCCGCGTGCGTGCCTGCTGCCCGCTGCCTCCAGCGGGCAGGAGGAGGGCTCACTGTATGCGCCTGCTCGGCGCTCGCAGGTTCCCCCATCTCCCTCCAACCTGCTGAGGGAGATGCCGCTGCCGTCCTGACTTCACAGATGATGAAACGGCCCCAGAGAGGTAAAGCAGCTTGCCCAGGGCCCGGAGTGAGTTAAGTGCCTCAGCTCTCAGACGCGAGGAGGGTTCCTCCCCCCAAAACCGCAAAGCAGCCTGTGCTTCTTAAGCAGTGACCGAGCCAGGCACCATGCCAGGTGCTACCACGTCCTCTCTGTGCCTCTCCATCCCACGCCCACCCCCGTGCCTACTGCTGGCGCACAGCACATTGCCATGGTCCCCGCCACACACACAGACATAAGCCCAGCACCCCAGAGCCTTCCAGGAGGCCTGGAGGTGATAACATCATCCCTTCTGCCAAGGGACAGGCCAGGGTCTCGTGTCCATGGAGTCCCCAGGGTGAGCGCACATCCTCCCCTGGCACAGCAGGGGCTCACACAGCCTTTGTAGACGGGCTTTGTTATGAGCTGGCCCTGGCACTGGACAGGTGTTGCAAGCACAGGAGGTTAAGCAGGGAGTGTAGAGGATGTCAGGGGCCCTACTCAGGGGGCCACTCAAACCCCCAGGTTGGGTGCAGCCCACAGGCATATTTCGTTCCCAAAACTTAACACCCAGAGGATTTTCTGTGACTTTCTGGTTTCTTTTGAAAAATTGGACGACCTGTCTCTCCTGGGCTACACGCACAGGGCAGTGCCCACGTGAAGTGGGGTGCTGCCTGCCCCTTTGAGATGGGCTCGCGTGCACATCAGATCAGGCTTCTCCCAGCCGCATCTCGCTTGCTTTCAGGGGGTCTGGGGGTAGGGGTCCCCCTGAGGACTTTTAAACTGAGACTTGAATAAAATAAGAGGAAAAAGCGGCAGGGAAGTAGCAGGCCTGAGGCACGGGGGCCGGATACAGGTCAGCGCCAGCTCTGTCCCAGTCTTGGACTGCTGCACCGCCTCAGCTTCCACACCTTTGGAGGGGGCAAATTACTGGTCCCCCCCCTCATCAGTGAGCTGCTGATGAAATTGGGCCCCTAAAGGGCCTAATCAGTGCCTTAACCAGGGCACACGGAGATCAGTCCCCAGAAAAAATAGCTTTTAATGGGGGCCTGGCACAGTGCAGGGGTTCCTGGGGTGGCTGTGTCTTTGATCTCATAAGGTGCTCCTCTGCCCAGAGTTACCTTTCTGAAGCCTTGTGAACCAGCAGTGCTGCTCTTCAGGCGGGGCTGCCTGCGTTTGTCATGAAAGCCGAGGGGACAGAACTTGGAAGGCACCCAAAAAGCGGCCAGAAAGTTAGCCTGACTCTGTTTACCACTCCAGTGGGTACTTTACAGTTGGAGCTGCTTGGGTGGAGACTGAGAAATCCCGTAGCTGGAGCAAGTCCTGCCCTCCCAGGCTAAGGTTGGCCTGGGGGCAGGGACATGCCGAGCTCCTCCTTTGCCTTCAATGTCAGACTAATATGCGTGACCAAAGCCGAGTCTCAGCCTGTCCACACTCCTGTCGGCAGGACGGGAGAGTGTGAGCATGAAGGAAAAGCTGTCTCAGTCCCACTCATATCCTGTGGTCCCAGACCTGGTCAGATGTCCACACCTAAGGAAGCTGAGAAATGCAGTCCCCAACTTGGCAGCCATGTGCCCTCCAAAATTGTTTTGTGGTGAGGGGGTCTTTATCACTAAAAGGAAGCAGGGGAGAATGGAGGGTCCCCCTGCCACTGTGGACAAGCTGCCCAGGCCTGTGGAACACCCCCACACACTCCAGGGCTGTTGTGGGCTCCCCTCAGGGGCAGATGCACAGGACTGGCCTCTGAAACCCCAAGTCTTTGGACACAAGGGTGGCTGCTTCAAAGGGAAGAATTTTGACTCCCAAATCAGAAGTCACAGGCTGGGATGAAGCCAGTCACAGCTTGCTCTTTGAAGAGACTGAATTTTCCTTTCAACCCAGTTATTTTAAACTCTTTAATTATGGGAAATTTCAGACGTGCACACAAGTAAAGGCTCTCACGTAATGAACTTCTGGCCCCATCGCCAGCTGCCAGCTCCCAGCCCAGCACCTTCTCGTTCCTTCCTTCCCTCCTTTAACTTCCCCCTGATTATTCTAAAACAAATCCTTGACATCCTGTCATTTTATCTGTAAACATTTCAACATCTATTTCTACAACAGAGTCTTTAAAACGAACCGCTGTCATTACCACACCTCACAATCGTTTCTGATTGTCACGTAAACAGGTTGGGCTATGAAACCAATTACTGGGCCTCAAAGTTGGCAGGGTCAGGACAGGAAAAGAGCAAGAAAGTCCCAGCACCTCCCAGTGAGTAAGGCTAAGTCCCTATTCTGTTTGGGGAGCATGACCCTGTCTGATGCATCCCCCGCTGCCCAGTCTCGCTATCCAAGTCATACACCAAATCAGTCATGTCTTCAGGTAAGTCCTCTCCTATCCTGCCTCTCACTTCTTGCTCCCCACCCTCAGGAATGTGAGATTGCAAGGAATTATTTTGTGTGCAGGGACGAATGTGTGTCTCAGCGTGTGGATGCTTAGAGTGACTCATGACAGGAACTTCCTCCCGTCAGCGGTGGTCACAGACCCGTGTGCCACCACCCAGGCAGGCTCGCCACAGAGTGCCCTTACCCCTAGGGGTGACTTCTCACAAGAATCAGCCATCGCGCCTCTTTCCTTGGAGCAGTTTTAGGAAAGGAGTGAGATCTCCATGTAACCTGCTAAGCCCGTCGCACTCACCTGCATCACTAGCTGCACGCTTAGCCCCATCCACGGGTTCACGTCCCTTACATGTCATCACGGCCTGAATCCCACGCAGATGCAGCAGGGAGTGAAGCAGAAGCTAAGCGCTACGTGGTCATCTGGGCTCCAGCTTGGGGGAGAGTCCCAGGAGGAGATGGGGTGGGGGTTGTGCCTCTAAGGGTGACGTCAGGAAGTAAAGGGCAGGAGCCAGCAACCCCGGGGTGCAGGGCTGCAGCGTCTTGGCGCTCTTAGAGAGACTCTGTTGGTCAGGTACGTAATCCGTGGCTAAGAACAACAAAGGTGTATTTCTCTCACACTGGAAGTCGTCTTTGGTTCCCTTAGGGTCTCTCCTCATGTAACTCTGACTCGGGGACCCCCTGAACCAAACAGCCTCTCTTGAGCAAAATCCCAGTGGCTGTGGCAGAGGGGAGAGGCCTCCAGAGTTAAATGCCCCAGCCTTGGCCACCCCCCATTCCACCCACCACTGGCCAGCACATCCCAGAGCAGAGGGGGTCACGAGGGGCAGCCCCACCAGACCCGGGAGCAGAGGGTGGCAAGGGCGTTTGGAGAGCAGGACCGGGACTGTCACCTCTCTGATGTCAGAAGCCATGTAGCTGCATATCCACGTTTCCTCCAGACATCAGGAGCCCCTGCTGGGACTAGGTGGGAGTGCATGCTGCTGTGCCCTGGTGTCTCCTGGGAGGATCACTGTGGTTCAATTGATCAGTCGGGGAAGGGGGGGCGGGTGGAGGTGAGGGGGTTGGCGTGTGAGGATAACAACTTGGGTCTTCAGAAGAGCACAGTTTCTCAGGCTAAACCCGCCCATTGCCTGCAGGTGATGACCAACGGCTGGGAGACAGTGGACATGACCCTGCGGCGGAACGGGCTAGGGCAGCTGGGCTTCCACGTCAAGTACGACGGCACTGTGGCCGAGGTGGAGGACTATGGGTTTGCCTGGCAGGCAGGCCTCCGGCAAGGCAGCCGGCTGGTGGAGATCTGCAAGGTGGCCGTGGTCACCCTGACCCATGACCAGATGATCGACCTGCTGCGCACCTCTGTCACCGTCAAGGTGGTCATCATCCCGCCCTTCGACGACGGCACGCCCCGGAGGTAAGGCAGGGGCCGGACTGGTCCCACACACACCCCCAACAAAGTCACCTGTACTGGGCCTTTCCTCAGTGGGAAGCAGGATGTGGACCCTGGGGGTGTCAGCCAACACCTCCAAGACTCAGCAGACACCACTCAGTGTCCACCACAACCCCTGAGGCAGCTTGATGACCCACGCTGTGTCAGAAGTAACTTGCCTGAGGACACATGTCCTTCTTTTGTCCAATACGTATTTGTTGAGTCCCTACCATGTGCCAACTCCACTTGACATGCTGGGCATTCAGTGGTGACAGAATGAAGGACCTGTCCCTGTGCACCAGAGGAAGAGACGGGGCAACTAAGCAGATAAATGACAAGCTCCCACAGTGACGAGATCTAAGAAGCAGGCCTGTGGCACCATAGCAACCGCCTATGGGCAGAGGCAGCCATATGGTTGTCCGGTCCAGCAGCCCCAGGCAGGGACCAGCTGCACACCAGAGTGCAGGTGTGTGTGGCCAGTTCCTGCAGCCCCGGGAGCCGCGTGGCTGGGGCAGTATGGGGTACCATCGGGAGCCGTAGGGACCCAGGGATGAGCTCGGATTTTATAGTAGGAATTCCGCATGGAGCTGGTTTCTCTTAGCGTTTTATTTTTCAGTAGAACATTTCAAACCTCTTAAAAGTACACTGAAACCCCGTCGCAGCATCTGATCAACATATGGCCGGTTTCCTCATTCTTTTTCCACCTCCAGGCCACCCCATCTTGAATTATTGGACATGATCCCAGACCTTGGAAAGTTATCTGTGCCCCGCAAGGACCTTCTACAAAGTGTTATTGCTCTTAAAATATTTAATAATAAGTCAGTATGAGCTCCCCCATCTCTCTTTAACTTTCTATTGTATCAGAGATTTTTTTTTTTTTTTAAAGATTGATTGATTGATTGATTGATTTATACAAGCACTGGGTACAGTCAGAAGCACGGGAGGGTGAGCGAATTCACCAGAGCCAGAGCTGGGAGCAGAACAGGCAGACTGACGAAGTACACTGCTGAGGGGAGCAGCGGGCGGCGGAAGAGGTCTGCGCGCCATGTGGGAGCCTCCTCCGGTGGCCGGGGAGCAGCCGGGGATCGAACCGGCGCCGCAGAGGCTGCGGGCAGCTTTGCAACCCAGCGCTCAACCGCTGCGCCACCGGGGAGGCCCTGTATCAGAGATTTTTAAAAGCAGTTATTTTATTAATCAGGAGCCTCCTATTGCATTTGGCTAATGAGTTGCTCCAGGCTCTTTCAATCTCTAAATTTTCCCTCCCTTCCTCTTTTTTCATTTTCCTTGCAATTTTGCAAAGAAACCAGGTCACCCGTCCTTAGAGTTTCCCACTTCCTGGATTTAGCTGCTGCCCCTCCCCACCTCCCCTTTAGATCCACCTCTGGCACATAAATTGAAGTTTGATGCAGCAGCATGATTAGATTCTGGTTAAATTTCTTCTTGTGGGAACAGGGGTACGGTGTCCCTCAGGAGTCACCATGTGTTTGGTTGTCCCTTGTGTGAGTGACACCAGGAGTGAGCCCCGGGGGGGGGGTCACACGAAGGCATCTGACCTGCTGTCATCCACCGGCCCCCAGCTTTCCGCCACTTGTGATGTCGCTGTCATTTCATCACAGGCCGCGACTGCATGTTCTAAGTTCCAGCATCCTTCCTCATCTATTGGCTGGAAGTCTTCTAGAAAGAACTCTCCTTCAGTTACTGTCTGGTTGCTCTGAGGTATAATTTATCCTGGGAAGGCAGGATAAATGTGGTACAGAACAATGAGTGGGTACCCTGGCAGCCTCCAGAGGTGACCAGAGAGAGTTTGCCCTGACATCCCAAGCACTGGGGACACACTGCTCAGACAAGAGTTGAGGCCTTGGCCCCGTGGAACTGATAAATGGCTTGGGAGACGCGAACAATACACGAGTAAGCCAACCAGATGGCTGCATATAAGGGCCGGGGGCCGTGGGGCAGAGCCGGAAGGCGGGCTCTGCAGCGGGGTTGCCTCGGTCGGACTCCCAGCTCTCCCTGAGTAACTGTGACCCCAGCAAGCAGTCCTACCTCCTGCACCTCGGTGTCTTCATTTGTAAAATGGGGACAATAATAGATCCTTCCCCAAAGGTAGTCATGAGGTTGGAGGTGAAACTTGTAAGGTGTTTGGCCTGTGGGGACCCTCTGGAGACACTTGAGATGCCCTTGTGAAGAAAATAAAAACATGACTTGGGGGGAAAGTCAGGAACCCAAGAAATCTACCCAGATTGACTCCCAAACACTGTACAGTGGGCCAGTGAGCACAGTGGTTCAAGTCGTGGGCTTTGGGATAAACTTACTCTATTTAAGTCCAGTTTTCACCTCTTCCTGGCTGTGTGACTTTGGACAGGTTACTTAATTCCTCTGTGCCTCTGGTTACTTAAGTATAATAAACATAAGGATTCTGGTTACCAGCAATGGAATCAACTCAAATATAGTGAAGCAAAGAGGACAGGATGAGGACATCTGGCAGACTTCGGCAGGACCCTCCCTACGCAGGAACTCAGACACCCTCATCAGAAATCTCTCCCTGTCTCCGTTTTGTGGTGCCACAATTCCCAGGCATCTCTCACCTCGTGGAGACCCACCCCTCCTTACAGCTCCAAACTTAGCTCTCCCAGCTCAGCAGGTCCAGTGAAATAGCTCTCCCCAGCAGTTCCAGAAGCAATTCCAGGGCTGAAGCTCGTCTCCGCCAGGCCCCCCCCCGAGCCTGTGACAGTGCTTTGCCTGTCGGTGTGTCCAGGGTGAGAGGAGCATCTGCTTGGCGAGGCTGGGTCACGTGTTCACACCAGAGCCAGGAAGCTGGAGCAGCCCCACCCTCAGCACCAGACCTGTTTTCAGGAGAAGGGGGTGTCCAGGTTGGGTGGCTGGAGTGGCAGCCATGCACTGGGGTGATGGTGGTACCACATCTCCACCCAGCCGGGCCCAGCCACCAGCTGTTAGACCTTTGCATTGTCATTTCTTGCCCAGTACCTTGTTGGGTATCTGCACCTACCAATCCAGAATCTGCTGGATGTCAGTGCTGACCCTCCTGCTGCTGAAGGTCATGGCGTGTTGGACCCGGTGCCGGAGCATGCCCTCCCGGCACCTTTGGATGAGTCAAAGTCTGGCCTAGACTCACAGCTCCAGCAAATCACTAGTCTCATTGGGCGGTTCTGAAAGTCCCTTGGACCTGGCTCTGGTGACCCAGGAGAGCCCTAGAAGGGGACTGGATGGGGCAGGATTGCTGCCCGGCCGCGGGCTCCTCCAAGTTCTGTTCCTGCGGCTATGGGGAGTAGGCTTGGTGAGCAGATCCCCATCCTGAGCTCCGCGCTGCATGTGCCAGCCAGGTCTGGGGGAGTCACAGGCCCTTCTGCATCTATTTCAAGGTTCTGGGTTTTATGGCTTTTTTTTTTTTTTTTTTTAATCACCCTGCAAAGTAGGTCACCTGCTCCTCTTCCAGCTGCCTTTGTGCTTCTTTGGAACAAGGCAGATACTATCCTTTGATTTTGAAGGCATTCGCTGCTCAGCCCCCAAGTACCTCCAAGGGAGGAGCCTAGCTAGTTCACAGAGGACACTGGCCAACTCGAGGCCCGGGTCAGAGAAGAGGAGAGGAAGGGAAATGGAGAGAGGGGTAGAGTAGAGCTAGAGGAGGTGGAAGTCAGAGCCCCCTGGACCCTGTCCTGGTTGAGACTGAGCTTGCAGGTAAGTTCATGTATTAACTTAAAGGGTGCCCATGTGGCCTTTGAAATGGCCTGTGTGGTTCAGTTGAGCCGGGAAGGCCCAGCCCTGCCTTAGGCGGCGGCGGGTCTCCCAGGCAGTAGGCAGTGTGCTGGTGGCTGGGGCCTTTCTGAGTTGAGCAACAAGGTTTCTCTTCCCAGGGGCTGGCCGGAGACCTATGACATGAATACCTCGGAGCCCAAGACCGAACCGGAGACCGTGACCCCCGGGGGCCGGCCCCCGTACCGCAGCAATGCTCCCTGGCAGTGGAGCGGGCCTGCGTCCCACAACTCTCTGCCAACCTCCAAGTGGGCTGTTCCCTCCACCCCCGGCCATGTCCAGTCCCTGAGCCGGCCCCCAAAGCAGGCCCCCATGGTCCCTTTCCGGGAGTCCCAGCCCCTGCACAGCAAGAGGTAAGGCCGCATCAAGGGGCACCTTGGCCCTCCATCCTTCTGCCTTTCATCCTTTTCTCTCTCCTTCACCCCTTTCAGCATCTCCCTCACTTCAGTCTTTCCCCTTTCCTTCTTGTCCTTAAGCCTCTTCCCCTTCCATCTCTCCTTCCCTTAAACTTGGTTATGAGCTGCCTGGAGAAGGACCCAGTGCTGGGGAGCTCAGTGTCTGAGGCTGGAAAACCACCATGCCCCGTATGATTAAAACTATGTATTTTTTAAAAGATCAAGGAATCGGTTGATCAGCACAAATGTTAGCATCACTTCCGGTGGGGGAGGGGCAGGGAAACGAGTGGAGAGGCCCAGGGGTGGGTGTGCGTTGCCACCCTCTTGGGCTGGGTGGTCATTTTAGGGAGTGTATTTTATTGTGATGACCTATCCTTAGAGGTATTCGTTGGAGTATATTAAATAATAAATATTTCCCAAAAATGAAGGACTCCATCCAGCAGAGGAACTTCTTGTCCCAGGAGCGGGCAAGCGTGTCTTCAGCAGCCTGTCAGGGCCGGAAGCTGAGGGCCGGCGCACAGTCGTGGGAGAGAAAGGACTCAGGCCAGCCTTGCTTTGTGCTGCCTTGGGCTCAGCTCTCTCTCCGCCCTGAGGGGAGGGGAGCAGATGGAGCAGATAGGATGTGGTTGAGCCTGAGGGCAAGGTCTGTCTGTCTGTCCTGTGGCAGGGGCCTTCTCACTCACTCCTGGCCACCTCTCATCTCTTTCCAGGCCTGTCAGCTTCCCCGAAACCCCTTACACAGCATCACCAGCAGGGGCCGACAAAGTCCCACCCTACCGGCAGCCTTCTGGGAGCTTCTCCACCCCGGGCTCAGCCACCTACGCAAGATACAAGCCATCCCCGGAAAGGTCAGAATCGCTTTACTCTTCTCAAATTAAGGAATCTGATGGGAGCTGGGAACGCTGGGCCCCAGGAAATGCACATACCCCCACGAATTTATTTGCCATTTTGTGGCTTTTCTGGCTGCGCACAGTTCACCCGAGGCCCTCCAGAAGGGTTGTCTGTGTCTCTTAAGATTTAGAGCCAGACTAGCCTAGTCAGAAATTCGGTTGCCATTTTCTTGACACCTGTCATACTTATTTGCGCAAGACCATCCCATAGCAGCTCATCTGAATCCCTCCGGCCCCGACTGCCAGACACTGGGCATCAGCATTACCCTGTTTTCATGGACTCTCAGGCTTCACTTCTGCCCCCGCTGGCTCCTTCTCCAGCCTGGCAGCCCAAGGGATCGCCCACCTCCTCCATGGCTCCCAGTGCCCTCAGGACAAGCCCTTGCTCTCCCACTGCCTTCAGCCCCAGTGCCCTGAGCCCGTCCTGCTCCTGGGTTCCTGTCTCAGGGCAGGCTCATCCCGGATGCCTCCCCTCCCCCTGCTGTGGTCCATCGGGTCTCCTGAGCATCTCTGCTCACACTCACACCTCCCAAGACCACCTGTCTGGGCTCCAGCCTCCTTGACTTCCTGGCCCGCCCTTGCTCAGCAGTTGGGGTTCTTTATCTGGCCTTGTCTGTCTTCTGCTCCAAACCCTGCCATGTGTCCCAGAACCTCGCTTCTTATCTATGGGCTGCCACAGCCCCACTCATGTCCCACACATCAGCTGCCAGCCACTCTCCTCATAGGCCATCTGCATGGCAGAGCCCTCCTCTGTTCTCCCTCCGCCTGGAGTCCTGCACGCTCTCTACTTCCATGCCCTGCTTCCTGCCACCTCCCTGGGCCCATTGTTGGACTCTGAGTCTGTGCTGTCAGCCTGGGAAAGCATACTTGATGGTTCATCTCCTGGTAGCCCCCATTCTGCCTTCACTTGCAAAAGCCTTCTGCGTGCCAGGCACCGGGATACTCCCTTCCCAGGGCTTTCTGCTGCCACCTCTGCTGACTGTGGTGGAAGGAAGGTCCGAGAAAGGATGTTCACTCTGATGAGCTCACCCACAGGCCTAGGCCTTGGAGGAAGGAGGTCTCAGCCCCAGAATTCTCAGCTGACTGCCCAGAGGAGGTGACATTTGAGCAAGGCTTTGAGAGATTAGTAAGAATTTGTCACAGAGGGAGAAAGTCATTCCAGACAAAGCACAGGCCACAGCTATGAATCAGCACATTGGTGTGGAGCACAGGAAGAGAGGGGAGACCTGAGCTGTGGGCACCTGGGCAGTAGCAGGGCTGAGGCTAGAAATAGCAGTTGGCACGTAGCCGTTAGTCAAGAACAGAGGTGGGAGCAGAGATGATGTTACTGATAACCTCCGGGAGCTTCTTTTTCCCCTTTATTATTATACAGGAAGCTGCAAAGACATGTAGAGGGAGATCAGTGAATCACCCAATCTCCCCAGTGTTAACGTGTTAACTGATAACATCAGCAAAGCCAGACATTGATGTTAATCCATAGAACTTAATTCAGAATTCACCAGTTGTGCATACATGTGTGTGTGCAGTTCTGTGCAGTCGTGTGTGTGGTTTTGTGCAACCACCACCACCAAGATACTCAGCTGGACCCGCTAAACTGCTGCCTCCTAACCCTTTGCAGCCACACCCCTCCCCTCCCTCGTCTCTCGCCTCTGGCAACCATTAATCTGTTCCACATCTACTTATTTATGATTTCTTGAATTTTGCATAAAGTGAGTCATACAGTGTCTGTCCTTTTTTGAGGTTGTCTTTTCACTCATCGTAATGTCCTTGGCATTTTATCCAAGCTGTTACATGGCTCAGTAGTGGATTCCTTTTTGTTGCTGAGTTGTGGTCCCTGGTATGGAGGTACCAACTTTGTTTAACGGCTCACCCATTGAAAGATATTTGTGCCGTTTCCAGTTTGGACTTTTACAAATATTCGTGCTCTAAACACTTGCGTAAAAATAAGTTTTTCTTCACATGGGATAAATGCCCAGGAATACAATTGCTTGCCAAGATAGGGAGCAACCTAAGTGTCTATTGATGGATGGATGGATGGATGGGTTAAAAAAAAGGTAGTGTAGACGTGTATGCAGTGGAATATTATTCAGCCGTCAAAACAATTCTACCATTCGTGACAACACGGATGAACCTAGAAGGCGTTATGCGAAGCAAAATGAATCTAACAAAGAAAGGCAAACACTGTATGATATTATTTATATGCAGAATCAAAAAAAAAAAAGGTGAACTTAAAGAAATACAGAGAGTGGTGGCCTAGGGGTTAAGTCTCAGCATTATCACCATTATGGCCTGAGTTCGATCCCCGGCCAGGTAGCTGACCCACATGGCACAGCAGACCTCACCTGTCTCTCCCAGTTCTTGTATGCAAAAATAAATAAATCTTTAAAAAAAAAAAATCAATGGAAAAAGAATACAGTTGCTTGTACACTTCTTGCTCTACAAGGAACGCCAGGCTCTCTTCCAGAGCCCCTGTGCCATCTTGCATTCCCTCCAACCATGTGTGCGTGACCCACTCTCCCCTCCTCGCCACCCTAAGGTGTGGCCACCAGATTTTGTTCCAGCTGTTCTGCAGGTGTGTAATAATCCCTCTGGGGGCTTTTAGCTGGCGTGTCTTTTGTGCCTGATGATGTCGAACATCTTCATGCTCATTTGCCGGCTGTGTGTGTCTTCAGTGAACCTTTTGTGCACATTTGAGCCCATTTTCTTAACAGATTCAATGTTTTTCAGTGTCACACAGTCCTTTGTCCTAAACCTGAAGTTCTCTGTCGGATGTGTGATTCACAATATTTTCTCCCATCTTTCGTTTGTCTTTTTATCTTAACACAGGACCGTTTGCATAATAAAAGTTTTTAATTTTTAACAAAAGTTTTTAATTCTGAGCAGGTCCAAATTATGATTTTCCTTGTACAAATCATGCTGTTGGTATAAAGTCTTAAGAATTTGGCCTGGGCCTCCCCTGTGGAGCAGCGGTTGAGCGCTGGGTTGCGAAGCTGCCCACGACCTCTGCGGCGCCGGTTCTATCCCCGGCTGCTCCCCGGCCACCGGAGGAGGGTCCCACATGGCGCGCAGACCTCTCCTGCCGCCCGCTGCTCCCCTCAGCAGTGTCCTTCGGTCCTTCTGCCTGCTCTGCTCCCTGCTCTGGCTCTGGTGAATTCTCTCACCCTCCCGCGCTTCTGACTGTACCCAGTGCATGCATAAATAAACAAACAAACAAACAAATAAATAAATACATGCCTCTTAAAAAAAAAAAAAAAAAAAGATTTTGGCCTAATCCTGGGTCCTGAAGATTTTCTTATATTTATTTTTTGCCTGGAAGTTTGCTTTTTTTTAAAGTGATTTTGGTTCTTTTTTTTTTTTAAGATTTATTTATTTATACAAAAACTAGGGTACAGGCCAGAGGCGCTGGAGGATGAGAGAATTCACCAGAGACAGAGCAGGGAGCAGAACAGGTAGACGACAGAAGACACTGCTGAGGGGAGCAGCGGGCAAGACAGGAAAGGTCTGCTGCGCCATGTAGGACTCTCCCTGGCCGGCCGGGAATTGAACCCAAGTTGCAGAGGCTGCGCGCAGCTTCACAGCGCGGTGCTCAACCTGCTTTGCCACCGGGGAGGCCCTGCCTGGAAGTTTTATTGTTTTACATTTTAAATTTACAGACATGATCCATTTTGAGTTAATATTTTTAGAGTTAATTTTCATATAAGGTGAGAGTATTTAGTATAGGTTTGAGGTTCTGTCTTTTGTCTGTGGATGTCCACCTTGCTCCAATGCCATTTATCGAAAAGAATTCATTTATTGAATTGCATTGGTTTTGCTACTGAAATCAATAATTTATTAGAAGGTGAATTTGATTGTGTGTATTTGTGTGGGTATATTTCTGGGTTCTCTAGTTTGTGCCATTACTCTATATGCATTGATCTCAGTGAGTGCTACAGGCAGTTACCCCATTTTTTTATGTATACAAGAACTGGGGTACAGGCCGGAGGTGGGGGGGAATGAGAGAATTCACCAGAGACAGTGGGGAACAGAACAGGCAGAGTGACTGAAATACACTGCTGAGGGGAGCAGCGGGCGAGACAGGAGAGGTCTGCTGTGCCATGTGGGTCAGCTCCCTGGCCAGGAATCGAACTCGTGCTGCAGTGGCTGTGGATAGCTTCACAGGTTGCATCGTAACCCCTTGTGCCACCTGGGAGGCCCTACTTACCCCATTTTACAGAAGTAAAGCTAAGGCTCAATGAGGTGACTCCACCTGACCAGGGTCACTTTTTCAGAAAGTCAGGATGGGGGCCCAGCCCTTTGTGATTGCACAGGGCTGACCCTGACCCCGGCACCGCCCTGCCTACCCAAAGGACTCTTCTTCCACATGGGGCAACATGCCTAGGGCCTGCCCTACAGTGACACTTGAGAACGGTGATTGTATCTCAGGCTCTCTGGCCTTGGCATGTAGAAAGCTCTGATCTTTTCCTTGCACCCGAGCTCTTCCCAGCCTTCCCCTCCCTTCCCAAAGCTCTGGCAGAGCCTGGCTCTGCTCTGTGGCCTACGTCTCAGCATTTTTTTAAAGATTTATTTAATTATGCAAACAAGAGCTGAGGTACAGGCCAGAGATGCGGGGGGGTGAGAGGATTCACCAGAGACAGAGCAGGGAACAGAACAGGCAGATTGACCGAAGTACACTGCTGAGGGGAGCAGTGGGCGAGTCAGGAGAGGTCTGCTGCAGCATGTGGGTTGCTCCCTGGCCAGCCAGGAGCGAACTCATGCTGCAGAGGCTGCAATTGCTTCATAGTGTGGTGCTTAACCCCTTGCACCACCAGGGAGGCCCCCGGTCTCAGCATTTTTTTAATCTCTAACAGCTGAGTTCTGTGTTTCCCAAAAAGGTTCCTAGCACACCTCATCCCCAAGCCCCCCAGAAGAAATGGCTTTCCCAGCCAGCACCAGCCTGCAGTAAGAGCCTGGGAGGTCAGGGCTGTCCATGGCCTGTTGCCTCAGCTCCTTTCCCTGTTCCTGCTGCACCACTGGACAGCATCCTGGACAGGTGCACTCGAGCCAGGCGTGCCAGCCCCTAGCCATGAGCATATCCCCCACAGGACCCCCATCTCCTGCTCTCTTCCAGAGACTGACCCTTGCTGAGGTCAGCAAGCTCCTAGGAACTCAAAAGCCCCATATACCTATGTAATGGCCCAGCTTAGATTTACAGAGCGATAAGATGGCCAGATGGCCTGCCACTTATCAGCTGTGAGAGTGTGGGCAAGTGACTTTACCTCTGCTCTTCCATTTGCTCATATGTTAAACGTCTGTCTCTGAGCAGTTTGCAAACACTCTGGAAGGGAAATCTATAGCACTTAGAGCTATGCCTGCACATAGTCCGTGCTCTGTGAGGGTTATGACTTACTGCTGTGCTGGCAGCAGGGGCACAGAGGCTAGTCCATGCAGTCCCTCTCCCCAGGAGTCTGCCGCCCTTATGTGTAAGATGAGCAGACCACCAGACCCCACACAGGGCATTAGGACAGGAGTGTGTGCCAGCTCGGCAAGTCCGCAGGGCTGGACTGGGCCTGGGGCTTTGGCTCCTGTGTCACCTGTTTTTCTCTGCCGACTCCATCCAGAGCGGCGCATCAATCGGTGGCATTTGGCTGCAAGTGACAGAAAACCTAACTCAAGAAAACGTGAAGCATTAGGGGAGTTACCATCACTCAGCAAGTCCAGATGCAGGGGGGCTCTGGAGCTGGTGGGTTCTGCAGGGACATCCTCTGGACTCTGGCTCCATATGGACCATGATGCTGCCGTGGCCCCAAACCAGACTGAGGGAAGAGCTTCTCTTTGTTTTTAAGAATAAAGGAACTGGGTCTCTTGCCCACCCCTAAGCCAGTCCTTGGTGAGATCATATTGGACCCCCATGACTGTCTTAATCTGCCATAAACCAGGGTTTACTTAAGTCACATGGCAAAGGGACAACTGCCAGAGCAGAATCTGGCACCCCCAACAGGGACAAAGAGGATGGTGGCTGTCAGGGTGGCAGCCGACAAATCATCCACCCACCCTGTTACCCATCACTGTAACTACCGCCCGCTGCCCCATCCATCAGTGCAGGCAACCGATAGAACAGGCTGGCGTGCGCCCCAGAGTAGGACTCCTCCCACGTCCACTTCCTGTGGCCGAGCAGGAACTCCTTAGGCCAACAGCCCGGCAGCCCACCCCTGCTGACCTTAGGACACCCGGTCAGTCACGATCTCCAGCTTCTGCCAGGAGACACCTGAAACTATAGCTAGTTAGTTCCTCACCAGCATCCCAAGCCCTTTATCTTTTAAGTGTTGTCCTCTCCCAGGAAAAGATAAGAGTGCTTTGAATTTTCTCAGTTGAGGTTGAAGATACTCTTGACCACCTCTTTGGGGGCATTTTTGCCCAGAGAGATGCACAGTGAGGTGCTGAGTCATCCTGATTTCCAATGCATGTGACCAGGATTTGACAGTAATCAAAACGATCCCAAATGGGATGTACTCAGCCCCCCAAAGAATGATCAGCTAGATCAGTGTGTGTTGGGTTAAGCAGAAGACCTGTAAGAATTTCAGGATAGAGTAAGTGTGGGCTGCCTTGACCGAGGGTAGTGGCTGGTGGTGAAAGGCGGTAATGTCCAGACAGTGTGTCTCCCAGACAGGCTTAGGGTTAGCTGTATGATACAGAAGATGGTGATTCAGACCAGAGAGTTTCTTTCTCCCACACTGGCAGGGCCCTGGGCTCCTCGCCAGTGCCTTGCCATCCTTAGCCTGTGACCTGCTGGTCTTAATCAGTGCTGGAGCTTTAGCCTTCAGGAGGCCATGCAGCAGAAGCACCCAGAGCTTGCTTCCAGAGCCTTCCTAGAACTCACATGCAGTGCTTTGATCTAATTGGCCAAAGGTAGGCCGGAGCCTGGGAAATGTAGTCTATTGATTGGACACTTGCTGCCTCTGATACGCTTGGGATTCTGGGCAGAAGCAGAGAGCAGATGCTGGGAAGCAGCCACCAGTGTCTGCCACCTCTGCCTTCCGCTCTGGCTGGCTGGCCCCAGTCATTGCTGACTGTTGCTGTTAGTACTCGAGAAACTGGAATAAGCACGTCAGCCCTTCAATTTCCAGCTGTAATGGAGCCACATTTATCAGGGAGGCTGCTAAGTCAGCCAGCAAAGTGAAGATCACTTATGCTCGTTATTGTTCTGGCTCAGTCTTCCTTTCCTGGACACACTAGAGGTCAGGCTCGGGAGGACAGGCATGACGTGTATTTTCTTGGCAGGTGAGTGGAAATGAGTTTCAGAAAGTCCAGTGCACCTCTGACAGGGCCCTCTGCTGCTTTGGTGGCCTTGAACTAGGGGGTTAGACTTGGTCTTTGCACAGACACCCTTATGCCGGACCAGCCGACCACTTGGAGAAGTCAATGAGCTCCTCTTGTGGATGTTGGGGGCACCACTTTCTCACGCCTCCAAATTGAAAGTATAGACACAAGCAGCCAAATGGGGAATTGCAATACCAGCTTTTTTATTCATGGAGGCTCGGTAGTTTCGCCAAAGTACAAGGCCTACATCAGTAGGGTTGCGCTGACTTGTCAGTAGACCAAGTATGGCTCAGATTTTGGAGGGGCTTGTATCTCATAGAAAAGGAAACTCAAGCAGGGCAGGCTCCAGGGAGATTAACCCCACATCTCAACATCATTATCGAGGGCTGACTCCTGCCCACTCCTCTCTACCCCTTGGTACTGGCTTTATCCTCAGGCTGGTAGCACGTGGTGTGAGCTCATGGTGTGAGAAGCAGCTCATGGTGTGAGAACCGGACCCAGCAACACCTGGCTGGAGAAGGCCATTTTTCCTCATCCTCTCTCTTAGAAGCCCGGAGATATTTCCCAGAAGCCCCCAGCAGATGCCCCCATTCCGGTCAGGTCATGGTGGGGAATGAAAGTCAGAAAATCTCAGTGACTGAATCCACAGACTCTTGCTTCCCGCCCCCTCTGCAGTTGTGCTGGTCGGCAGCAGACCTCTCAGGACCGAGGCTGCCTCCGCAGCCAACATCTCCAGGTCACTTCCTGCACAGTCATTGGCACACCCAGGTGCCCAGCCCTGCATGGTCAATCACACAGGCCAGGAAGTGCTGTCCTGCCATGCACGCGCTTGCCGGGTAGAGAGCCAGGAGTACTTACAGGAGTCTGAACACATCCATGCATGTCTCTTTAGTCACATCATGTCCTCTGCCTGTCCCCGCACTGACCCCAGGCAGGGCAGAGGTTTCTGTCAGGACGGGCTTGGATCTTGAGTGGATTGGGGTGGTGCCCTCGGGACTCAGTGCAGGTATAGAGAATATTCTGCCATTTGCCCGTGGCTGTGCAGAGCCAACCTCCAGGAGGACCTCTGGAATAGAACTTTGCTGTCTCATCCACTCGACAGCCTTGTGAGGTTTTCAGAAGGAAACACTGCACCTGAGATTGGGGAGCACAAGCCTGGCTGTGGTCACACCGCTTCTCCCTGTGGCACCTTCCTCCAACAGGGACACCCGCAGAGGTCACCCCTTGTCACAACTTGCCTGTGATGCATGGCAACCTCTGGCTAGGCTCTGGGCACAGCCCCACGTTCAGTCCCGCCAAGAAGGACCAATCGTGAGCACCTCCTGACAACTAGGGAAACTGAGGCTCAGGGCTAGAAAGCTGGGTAAGAGGCAGTGGTGAGGTTTGAACCCCAACTTACCAGGCTCCAGGCCTCCTGTACCCACAAATGCTCCCTTATCCTACTTTGTTCTACCAGAAACAGGGAGCCCAAGGTAGGCACGGGGGAGTTGCTGACAACAGCTCACCCCATTCCTCAACTACTGAGGACCCCCACAAGGAGCTAAGGGTAGAACCATCAGTTCAAGTGACTTCTGCCCGCTCCTTCCTTGAGGACCCCGCCTCTCAGGGTGCTCCCTGCCACTGCCAGCTCCCTGGCATGCTTCCCAGGCGAGCTCATCTCTGACCCTGAGTTAATAGCAGGCTTACTCATCTCGCCTTCCTCTCTGCCCTCCACCGAGCCTCTGCATTTAAAACCCACCCGTGAGCGACACTCAGGCTCAGGTGGTTCTGGACACGGCAGCCCCTCACACTGTGCTTGTCTCCTCTCGCTGCCCTGCAGGTATGCGGCTGCCCCACACCCACTGCTGTCTTTTGATCCCCACTTCGGCCTGGATGGAACCTCCAGCGGCGACTCCTCCTCAGGCGGCCTGACCAGCCAGGAGAGCACCATGGAGCGCCAGAAGCCAGGTAGGGCCCCCACACTGTTTCCAGATGACAGATGACATCCTCCACCAGTCAGCATGGAGGAGGCTGTGGGCCCCCCATTAGATTAGAGGACTCACCCCAGAGAGTCATGGGCACCAGGGAGCCGAATCCGGGTCTGTCCAGACAGGGCCTCCACTGGTGGTGGCTGCTGGCACCTGACCTAGGACAGACCAGGCCGGGCTATAGAGGTGGTGCCCACAGGGGAAGTAGCTGAAAAGGGTAAGAAGTGGTGCTCTTGGGGCGCAAAGCCTGCTGCGCTGTGAGGCTCTTCATCACACGAGCCCTGCGTGGTTTTTGGCTGTTGCGCACACAGAAGAAACACGGAGAACGGAGCCCACAAGCATTCGACTTAATAACAGATCACAAGGTGAACTGTGTAGCTAGTCTCCTCAGAGTCCTCCAGATTCCCCAGTCAGTCCCCCCAAAAAACGCCACCCCTGTCCTGCTGCTCACAGCCCAACTTCATGTCGCCCGGTTGGAATCCCTCCTTGGTGGCAGCAGACTCACCCGGATGCTGGTGTGTGCGTCTGGCTTCCATTTCTCTGTGTCACATTTGTGGGTGCCCCCATGACGGCACGTCGCACGGCAGTTTCTGAGCGGCACTCCACCGTGCGCGTGCCCCAAACTGTGTCACCCCATCCTGGTGTTGACGCACAGGGTGTCCCCAGCTTGGGACTGTGCAGAACATGCTGCTGCGGATGTCCTTGTCCATGCTTCCCAGAGAGCTTATGCTCGCGCTCTGCAGGCTGCACACCTAGCACATGCATGGCATCATAGGGAGCTGCCAGACCAGCTCCCGGGTGACTGCCGGCCCCTCCCCGGGATGTAGCAACAAGCTGCAGTTGCTCCATCTCCTCCCGGCCTCCTCACTTTAGCCATAGTAGCTGCCCATGGTGGGATCACATTGTGTTTCAATCTGCCTCCTGATGCCTGATGAGATGGGGCATCTGCTCATCTGTTTACTTTACTGCCACCAGGAGCCCCCATTTGGGTGTCACAATTACTAACCACGGGCTTGTACTGCTTAGGTGAATGTTCTCAGTACAGTTTCACGTAACATGCCTGTAGCTCCTTCATGTCTGAGATTCCCCCAGATGAATGGAGGGGTGGGGTGAGCAGTCAAAAGAAAGAAAATCAGTGAAGCGTCAGACCACTTACCTTGGAGAGAGAAGACATGGCGATGGCTCTTAGGGAATGTTCCAGAATTTCCAGGCAACTGGAAGGGGTGGGGCGGTGACCAGGGTGGCACATCACCAGCTCCCCTAGACACTGGGGTAAGGAGGGGGTTGTGTCCCTGGGATTAGCAGCCTGGAGCATCCCTTGGCACCCAAACCTCTGACTCCCTTAAACCTGGGAAAATAGTTGGACGTCAGGCAAGTGGGTCGCCCTCCTGACCTTGTCCCCTCTGCTGCCTCAAGGTCCCGCAGACAGTTTGTTGCTCTCTCGCACATTTGACCCTGCCTGTGGCTGCCTGCAGTCTTGTCAGTTTTGCTCCAAGACACATTTGGGTCTTCCTTGCCCCTCCCAGCTCAGGGAAAGAGAAGGCGTGTTGCTTGGAGCGTCTGTTACACTACAGTGTAAAATGGGAAGAAATTTTTCTACAGTCACCAGGTGTCGCGGGAACTCACCGCTGCCTTTCCCTTCTCGCCTCTGTCCACACCTCCGCTGCCACCCTGAGCTTGCCTCCCTCATTTTCTTGGGACTTTGTACTAACACCCACCGGTCCCCTGGGAGATAACCAGCCCCGGCCGGCCGGCCACATCGCTACAGGAAGCCAAGTCTGAGGCCATCATATCCAGCCTTAGCCACCACTTTAATCATCAGCGACTCCCACTTCTCTGTCTCTGGCCTGGCCCTTTCTCCCTGACTTCAGAACTCATGTATGTGGCTGCTTACGGCGCCTCGCAGGTGCCTGTGGGTGAGGCCTGATTCCAATCCCAGCCCCAAGCTATCTGTTTTCTGGGCCTTGAATATATTCTAGATTCATAAATATGCCCTGATTTGTGTGGGGGGTTCTCCAGAGGTAGAGGAGGTGACAAGGCGACCTGCCTTTTTGCTTCTTCATATCCATGGTTCCCAGGGGACAGCCACAGGGACAGCTGTGACACCTGTTACTGCCTGCAGCCAGACTGCTCTGCTGTGGCCCTGAGCGTCCTGCCCACCCCAACCCTGGGAGAACGGGGGCCGCCCTGGAGGCAGCAGTGTGGTTCTAAGCTCAGCCTCCCTCAGGCCTAGTAGGAAGTTCCGACTCGTTGTGGCCTTGACAGTGACTTCAGGTGTCTCAGCCTCAGGTCCCTTCTCCACAGTGGATGTTCTGAGTATCTCTCCTTTCGTGGCAGCTTGGGGGTCCAATGAGGTGATGCTGGCACAGCCATCATTAGAAGGTCCCGCTTATCAAGTTCTTGCTGTGCTGTCCATGGCTGCCATTGATGTTGGGGAGGCGCAGGGGAGAGAATGCAGGGATTGAGGGTTCAGGCCCAGAGCCCGTGCTGGCTGTGTGACCTTGGGCCAGTTCCTTGACCTCTCTGAGTCGTGCTGGCCTTCATCTGTTAGAAATGTTTTTTTGTTTTTTTTTTTTTTGGTTTTTTTTTAAATTTTCTAGAGGCATGTCTTATTTATTTATTTATTTATTTGTTATTTGTTTGTTTGGTTTATACATGCACTGGGTACAGTCAGAAGCGCGGGAGGGTGAGAGAATTCACCAGAGCCAGAGCGGGGAGCAGAGCAGGCAGAAGGACCGAAGTACACTGCTGAGGGGAGCAGCGGGCGGCAGGAGAGGTCTGCGCGCCATGTGGGACCCTCCCCTGGCGGCCGGGGAGCAGCCGGGGATCGAACCGGCTGCAGAGGCTGCAGACAGCTTCGCAACCCAGCGCTCAACCGCTGCGCCACCGGGGAGGCCCTGTTAGAAATGTTACTGAGGGCGACGTGTTATTGGGAGGTTCAGCAGGGGAACGCTACAGAGCGTTGGGAGTAGCACCCAACTCAGAACCTGTATGTCATTACCATTCATTTAATTATTTTAAATAATTTTAGGTAAATTATTTAGGATCCACAGGGATCCTCAGTTCATGCGTTTTAACTAAACGTCCTCCTGGATGCTTCGATTTTATCTTATGGTCAGATGCTCAGGTCTGATGCCTTGACTAGCCTTGGGAGTTGAGACTGACTCACACCCACACCACCCATCACGTTTGCAAACCTGCTTCACCTATGAACCACCAATTCTACTTGTAGAACTCTTTCCCAAAAAGCCAGCAAAACACTGCTATAAAGACAAAAACGGAAGTGGCCTGAGTGTCCGTCAGTAGGAAACTGGCTGAGTAGCTGATGTCCAGTCACATAGTAAAATGCTATGCTGCTCTTATAAGAACGAGACGACTTTATTTATTTTTTTAAAGATTTATTTATGCATACAGGAGCTGGGGTATAGGCCAGAGGTGTGGGGGGTGAGAGGATTCACCAGCGACAGAGTGGGGAACAGAACAGGCAGACTGATGACATACACTGCTGAGGGGAGCAGCGGGCAAGACAGGAGAGGTCTGCTGTGCCATATGGGTTTCTTCCTGGCCGGCCGGGGATCGAACTCGTGCTGCAGAGGCTGCGGACTGCTTCATAGTGTGGTGCTTAACCCCTTGCGCCACCAGGGAGGCCCAAAAACAAGACGACTTTACACTCAGTTATCTGAAGATGTGTTATGAAATTAGGGTGTAGGGACACTGTAAAGGAAAAACCAAGTCATCGGTCAGGGTTGATGTGATCCCATTTTCCTTTAACAAAAACGTGAGGTACATTTAACCTGCAAGGGATTGCTACTAAAGAACTCTGCTCACCAGTGAGATACAAAGCAGTCAGTCCCGTAGCAAAATGGGCAAAGGATAGGAACGATTAACTCACCTAATAGAAAACCCAAATGGTGAAGAAAACCCAATAGAAAACCCAATGAGGGTGAAGCTGTGCTCTGCACCCTTTGGAATGACAATGGAGGGGTGTCCCTGAACCCTCTGAAGCAGAAATGGTGCCTGCCTGTTTGTAAGTGCTCGGTGAACATTCCCATACTGAGTTTGTTGTATCCTGAGACGTTAGTGGAAGGGGTCATGGCCCCACATGAGCTGAGAGGGCCAGTGATGGAGGGGTAGGACCGTCAAACCCTAGTTAGGGCCAGGTGGGCTGGGGCCAGCGCCTGAATCACCTCTAACGGCCAGTGTGTCTCCTGTCTTCCTGCAGAGCCTCTGTGGCATGTGCCCGCCCAGGCCCGGCTCTCGGCCATGGCTGCGAGCGGCGGGAGCAAGCATGCCTCCAGGCAGGACGCAGCAGGCAAGGATTCCCCCAACCGACATTCCAAAGTGAGTCTGGGCCCCACCTGACTGCTGCGGGTGGGGCGACCTCATCTGGGTGTGGGCCTCCAAGCACACGCACGCACACGTGAGCGCACCCTCCACCTCTGCCACCTTCCGCCCTGGTGGAGCGGCCTGGTCTGGAGTCAGAGCCGGCCCCGTGCACAGCCTGCTGCAGCCCTCCCCGGCCATGCCACCACCTCCTGCTTGAGTGGCAGCTTCCTCTTTATTACGTCAGGCATGGGAGGTCATCAGCTCAGCTGCTCTTGACAAAAATACCGCAGCCTGGGAGGCTTTACAAACAGTATCCGCTCACCTCTCAGAGTTCTAGAAGCTGGGAAGTCCAAGATCAAGTTGCAGGAGATTCAGTAACTGGTGAAGGCCCACTTCCCACTTCATAGACAGCCTTACGTCTGTGGTAGAAGGGGAGAAGGCGCATTCAGGGGTCTCTAAGAACACTTTGTGTATGTGTTTATACACACGCGCACACACACACATAGATTTTATATTGCCATTCTTGAGGCAATGTGGTGTCCTCTCCCCACAGAAGCATATTTCCACCTCGTAACAATTCAGCACAGATCTTTAGTGAGCACTTCTCACATGATGATTCAGGAATCAGGCCCCCTCCCTCTGTGGCTCTGCAATCCGGGTCCTATTCCCTGAAGGCCTTGGGGCCCTCTGCTGGGTCGCTGCCTTTTCTCCAGCAGGTGGGGATGGGAGGGATGTGAGGACCACTTGGGAAATTTTCGTAGCCTAGGCGTGGAAAGGGCATCCATCACTCCACTCCCATTGCCTTGGCCAGGACTCTGTCACGTGGCCACACCTAACCACAGGGGAAGGTGGGAAATGTGGTTCTGGGTGCCCAGGAGGTGGTGATAGCTTTGGTGAGCTCTTGGCATTCATTCATCTTGTGGGCGTTTGATGAGCACTTACAACATGCCAGGCCTTGGAACCTCAGTGATAAAGAGGATAAACAAGCCCCTGTCCTCACAAAGCTGACATCCCAGAGGGGGCAGCAAACCCTAAACAGAAAAACATACATTAATAACACCAGGAACTGATCCTTGCTGGGAAAGAAAACCAGAGCAGTTGGGGGGAAGGAGAGTGTCAAGCTCTATTCCTTAGGGTGAGGAACAGGCGACCTTCGAGGAGCTGAAAGCTTACGTGAAGCTTCTTCATGGCTTTTACGGTGAGCCCTGAAAAGAGCAGAGGGAAAAGCTTTGTAGACAGCAGGAACAGCAAATGCAAAGGCCCTGAGGTGCAGGTGTGCCTGGAATACTCAGACAGGAAGGAGGCCAACGTGGCTGGGGCAGATTGATCAAGGATGGAGGAGAGGAATTTAGAGATGAGAACAGTCACATCGGCCCTCGTGGGCTGTGGTGAGGCCCCTCACGGTACAAACCCTGAGTGAGGGAGAGCCACAGGAGGATTCTAAGCAGGGAAGGCCTGTGCCTCTGCCTGCATGCAGGGAATAAACTTGGGGTGCAGGTGGTGAGCAGACAGGAGTAGGAAGAGCAGAGAGGACTCTGTGGTGACCCAGCAGGACCAGGGTGTCATGGAGGGAGGAAAGGTGCCAGATCCAGGATCTGTTTTGAAGATGCAGGCAACAGGATTTGCTCTTTGACTAGATAAGGGGTGAGGGCAACAGCAGGGCCCAGGGATTAGGGCAAATGACAACTGTAAGGCTAGAAACACCATTAAGGAGATGGGGGAGGGGATTCAGGAGGGAGACCAGGGGCCCAATTTAGACACGGGGAGCTGGAGGGTGGGGGGCACTTAGGTACACAGTGACCCTCGTCTCACCAAGCAACCTCATGGCATGGGGTGATTATCAGCCCCATTTTACAGAAGTAGAAACTGAGGATCTGGAAATTAAATCAGTGGCCCCTTAGTGGGGGAGCCAGAGAGAAAGCTCTCTGGCCTGGGGTTCAGACTCCGGTAGATGGAGGACCCAGAGAGAGAAGGGAAGCTCTGTCTGGCGTCTCGGCGAACCCTTCTCTTTCCTTCCAGGGAGAACCCCAGTACTCCAGTCATTCCAGCAGCAACACCCTGTCGAGCAACGCGTCCAGCAGCCATAGCGACGATCGCTGGTTCGACCCCCTGGACCCGCTGGAGCCAGAGCCAGACCCCCTCTCCAAGGGCGGCTCCAGCGACAGCGGCATCGACACCACCCTCTACACCTCCAGCCCCAGCTGCTTGTCTCTGGCCAAGACTCCTCGGCCCGCCAAGCCACACAAGCCCCCCGGAAGCATGGGACTTTGTGGGGGTGGCCGCGAGGCGGCTGGGAGGCCCCACCACACGGACAGGCGGAGGGAAGTCTCGCCCGCCCCTGCGGTTGCTGGCCAGAGCAAGGGCTATCGGCCGAAGCTGTACTCCTCAGGCTCCAGCACCCCAACCGGCCTGGCCGGGGGCAGCCGCGACCCACCAAGGCAGCCCAGGTAAGGCTCTGCACCTAGCGGGGCCCTTCAGGGGGTCCTGACCATCAGCGTCCCCCGCAGCCCTCGTTCTGTTTTTCCGTCCCATGGTCCTGAGAGTGGGGTTCCTCTCCCCAGAAATACATTCACATTTGAACCTGCTTGCACAGTAGTTGCTTCCAGAGCTGGGAGGCCCCTGGGCCAACCCCTCCTGCCCAGCTAGAGGAGAGAAGCCCGAGGCTGGCTCATCTGCCTGTGGTCTGCTCTCTCCCTCTGTCTTGCTTTTTTCATCTTTTGCTTTCTGGAGGCCGTCACAGGCTGTGTATCTGTTAGGAGTACCTTTGGATGGAGAGGACAGGAAACCTGACCCAAAAAACAGAGAGAAGCGTGGGAGTTCCCTGACGGGAGGAACGAGCAGGCTGGTGCCGCAGCTCAGGGAGCACCTCTAGGCCTTGGCACCCTCTTCCTTCTCCAAGCTGCCTGCAGCTTCCTAGTCTCCAGATGCGTGTGGTGGGCCCGGGAGGCGTGGGGCAGAGAACAGAGGGGAGGGGCGCAGCATCTTCCTATGGAGGCAGTCGGTGCTTTCCCAGAACCCCCTTCAGCAGGGGGTGTCACGCGACCATCCCAGCTGCAAGGACATCTAGGCGATCAGTTTAGCCTTCCAGCCTCCACAGTAAAGGGCAGTGGACCCCAGACTGTCCCCTGGGGGGCTGTTCAACACAGATGGCTGGATGCGCCCAGGGTTTCCAATTCAGCAGGTCAGAGCAGCACCTGAGAACAAGCATGTTTAAAAGCTCCTATAGCAGATACCGACACTGCTGGTCCCAGGACCGTATTTCCAGAACCAGTGGTAGAGAGGCAGCAGGGGAGGCAGTGAGAAGGAACGGGCATCGAGAAGCCAGCGTGGGAGTCTGGGCTGCAGCACTTGGCAACAGGAAGGAAGCCGAGGCCACCTCCTCATGTAGGGGCAAACATTCTGTTCTGCTGTCACAGGGCTGGGCCCCAACCCTGGGGCCCCAAAGGAGGCCCTGCAGATGTCTGCCCTCCCCAGTTAGACCCCTGAGTTTACAGTCTGCCTCCCTCCCCTGACCAGCCTTAGCTAGGGGCGCCCTGCTCAAGCCCCCTCAGGCATCAGCTTTCCTGTGACTCCCGGATGCCATTGCCAGCTCTAGAACCCACAGCATCTGTACACACAGGACACACGCACCCAGACACCAGGACCTCCACCACAGAGGGCTGTGCCCACGTCTTCACAGAAATATCTATGTCAAAAGGTGAAGCAGAAGTTTCCCTGACAAAGTGCCCCGCGTTCGGTCTAGTCTATCTGCTTGAAGTGTGTCAGTGCGCGCGACTCCTCCTCGGAGGCTCTCATGACTTAGCAGTGGGCTGCAGCTCTCTGCAGGTTGGAAGCTGGTGCATCTGAGAGCGCCCAAGTGCCACTGCTCCCCTCTCCATGAGGCAGGGAGCCCAGAAAAGTGAAGGTGGAGAGAGAATGTGTCCCAGTGGCTTGGGTCTGTCCCAGCCCCCCTTCTTAAGCTTTTGAACTCACGACTCTTTCAAGCAGCTTCTTCATTCATCCATTTCACTCACAGATACTCCGGGGGATTTGGTGTGTCCCAGACAGCATAGTGGGGGCTGAGAGAAATCACGTTGTGGGTGAGGCCCCAGCCCTCGGCTCAGCCACTGGTTGAGAGAGACAAGAGTCAGATCGTCCCGGAGAGAGATGTCCAGGGTGCTGCGAGTCTGCCCACGGGGGCTGGTCTCGGCTGTCGGAGGCCCTGTGCCAGGCATATGCCCGCATCAGAAACCCCTATCAGAAACTCCAGGAGCAGCAGGGTTTTGGAATCTGTCCTAAAGACAGTCGTGCTGGGGAGGAGACTGTGGCTGAGGCAGGGGGGTGGGTATAAAATTACCCTGTGTCTGAGAGAGGGATTTGCTGAACCCAGAAATGAAGGGGATAAAATGGGAGAGGAACCCGCTACAAAGAGGGCCCTGCAGTTGGGAGCTTTAATTTGCATACAGACAATTGATGCTAATTGCAAATCATTCTTATCTACTCATTAAAGCTGCTTCCTGAAGTTTTCTCCTAGGCAACCAAGCTTTAGTGTAGAACAGCATTTCCCAAAATGGGGTGCTTGAGGTGATTTGGGTGGTATGGGGAGGAAAATGTTTTATTTTAAATGGATATATGTTGGCTTTAATGAGTATTAGTAAGCGTTACCAGCCCTTCCCCTGATTTTCTAGATACTGTCCTGGACAAGTTAAGGGAAATTCAGTGAGTTGATTTTTAAAGAAACATGTTCCTGGTGGATGAATGTGAATTGGAGTCAGCCCACTGGGGTTGAAACCCATCCTCTGCCTTGTCTTGGTAGTATGGCCTTGTGCAAATGACCTCTCTGGGCCTCAGTTTCCTCATCTGTGAAGTGGGGGATAAATCGCCTGCTTGCCTCATTGGGGTGTGGTGAGCATTCAGTGACTTCATGCTTGTAGAGAGAGCCCCAGGGACAGTGCCTGGCATGGACCTCAAACCTGGCTCTCACTGGAATGGGGGGGAGAGGCGTACTAAAGATGAGGTCTCCCTCAAGCTAAATGAGGATGTTTGTCCTGTTATAGACAGTAGTGGAGACACCCCAGTGACCGCGACAGCTCCAGGCCTGCCCTGTCAGAGCTCAAAAGTCCAGTAGGGGAGACAGATCCATCCCCACACAGTAGTAAGCCCTGGGTGAGTGAGCACCCCAGATGTGGGAGCCCAAAGAAAACTGACCACGTTGTGGGGTGGCGCCTTCCTGAAGTTCAGAGTTCAGAGACTGAGCTGGACAGGAAGCTCCCCGACTGCATACAGGTCCCCCACCTGTCCTCGCACAGTCTCCCCAAGTTAGTGGGCACAAGTTCCCCAGACAGCAGCTGGGCACCCTCTGGGGGCCAGACCTGGGCTTAGGGGCCTGAGCATCTCTGCTTGGCGCCAGCCACACCACTGCTTGTCCCAGGCCGCCCACAGCCTCCTGCACCTGCTGTCCTCAGCATGTTCCACACGGCCTGGGGGGTGGGGGGCAGGGCAAGGGCTCATGGCCGCCCTCACCTCTCCTTCCACAGACCGTGCAGCACCTCACATGGGTGCAGATGCCCAAGCTGCCAGGCCCTCTGCCAGGCTCTGTCCCCGCACTGACACAGTGCCAGGGGAGACAGCAAACAAATGATTACAACAGCAATGAATGAATTATGATGGGGGAGCCTGCAGCGCAGACCCACTGGGATCTGAGAGCAGGTGTGGCGTGGGCCTTGGGGTGCCTAATCCAGCCTGGGGGTGCTTTCCCTGAGCAGAGAGGAGAGAGAAGAAATAAGGAGCAGGTGAAGTGCTTTCAGGGAGGCTCCTGGTACAGATTCTTGACCAGGAGTGCGGTTTGTGGGTGTCTGCTTTCTAATGATTGTCAGATGGCACGTGCTTATTCTGTCCACCTTGCTCCCTATGGGACTATGTCAGCAGAAGAAAAACAACAGTTTTTCTACTGCACTCCCGACACCCTGGTGACCACATACATGGCAGCTCTCCCCCAAGCAGTCCTCTGCGACAGCAGCTGGGTGTCCTGCAGTGTTACTCGGTTCTGAAGCTGTCTTCCTGGAGATGAGTCAGACCCGACGGCGTGTAAGGGCTCACCCCACCAGATGACCCCGCCCCCGACTTCAGGTGCCAGCTCGCTGTAGATCCCCAGGTTGCCCACCTGGGGATCAGAGCTGAGGTTCCACTCTGGCTCCAGAGCTGAGGTTCCTGTGACCCCCTCCTCAGTTCTTGCTAGTTTGCTAGAGCAACTCAAGAAACCCCAAAAACAATTTGCTAATATTTACTGGTATAGTGGAAAAGAACATGGTGAAGAATGCAGACGACCATTCGCATGAAGAGATGCTGTCTCTGGGCACCCCACTTGTTTAGCACCACCGTGGGTTCACCAGCCCAGAAGCTCTCTGAACCTTGCACTTGGGGGATTTTTCTGGAAGTTTCCTCACATGGGCAGCATCATTCACTTTACTGTCAGCCCTTCTCAAGAGAACGGGAGGTGGAGCTAGAAGTGCTAGGGGTATCAGGAGCAGGGACAGAGACCAATATATGTTTTCTACTATCTCACAGGGATATTTTACAATTTTATTTATAAGAGAAGGGAAAGATGGACTTACAGAATTGTATACTTATGAGCGAGAGTTACATGTGCAAAAAGGCCCTGGGGTGGAGAGATCAGTGCTCAGTCAGATCGCTGAATGCGGGCCCTTGAGTCAAGTATAGAAATTGAGGGGGCAGCAGTGGGAGGTTGGGGAGGTCACCAGGGATTAGAGCACACAAGACCCACTCAGCCATGGCACAGTGTTTGGGTTGGATCCTATGAGCAGTGGGCATCAGGAAGGTTTTTTGGTAAAACAGGCAGATTTGTATTTTGAAGGGTGATGCTAGGACGAGACTGGCGGTAAAATCTGAGAATGGGGCTGCGGCTTAGTAGTAAGTGAGAAGGAGGACCTTGGAACTGTGGGTGCATCAGCAGGTGGCTGTAAGGAGGGAGGGGAGACAAGGGTCCAAGACAGTTCGGGTGAGCTGTGTGAGAGCTGGGGCAGGTGGTTGAGTGTCAGGGGTCTGCTACAGACCAGGACATTGAGGGCAGGATGGTGGGCGTTCCCTGGCTGCTGGAGCACCCACTTCATGCCAGGTACTGTTCCGAACACAGTGCTACATCAGGGACCAACGTTGAGTCCTTGTGGAACAGTCTCCACAGAGAGTGTGAGACAGACAGACCGTTGAGCAACTACATAATACTAATATGCCAGGTGGCAGTAAGTCCTGGGGAGAAAAACCAAATAGGATGGAGGTCCAGGAAGGCCTCTCAGAGGAGGTAATATTTTGTAGGAAGCAAGGGAGTGATCCAGGCAGAGGCAACAGCACACACCAAGACTCTGGAAGGAGGTGAGTGGCCGGGGCGGGTGGAGCAGACAGGAGAGACTGGCGAAGTGGGCAGGAGCCGGGTCTGGCAGACTTACTGACC